TCCTCAGAAATTTTGAAGATAAAGAACAGGTATCTGAAGGAAGAACTTAAAATGAATAGAATTTAATATCTTTGAACCATATTTGTGACATTTTCTTCTCATTCAGTGTGTTTTCTGCAGGTACTTTATCTAAAGCAGGGATCCCTGTTTCTTCCCTCTTTTTTTTTTTTTTAAGATTTATTTATTTATTTGAAAGGCAGAGTCACAGAGAGAGAGAAGGAGACAGAGATGTTCCATCCACTGGTTCACTCCCCACCTGGCTGCAGTGGCCAGAGCTGGGCCAGTTGGAAGTCAGGAGCTTCATCTGAATCTCCCACGTGAGTGCAGGGACCCAAACACTTGGGCCATCCTCTGCTGCTTTCCCAGGCGCAATACCAGGGAGCTGGATCGGAAATGGAGCATCTGTGACTCGAACTGGCACCCATATGGGATACCGGCACTGCAGATGGCGGCTTAACCCTGCGCCAGCACCGGCCAATAAAGTAGGGATTCTTAACTCTTTTCTTCTTTTCTACCATCCTCCCTTCCATATAACTGGATGTTTATTATATACCTGTTGTGGTTTTAGACACACTTTTCAGAAGCCATTCATATCCTAGACATATATGTGTAGATATACCCACAGTTATAGATTATTCCCCTGAAAATTAGTTGTAATCTTTGTTTAGTTTTTAAACATAATCCATTAGGTAATGATATAATTAGTTACAAATGGCAGTATACTTCAAACTGACATGCTTAAAAGTTAGTAAAATAATAGGCTAATTTATTATGGATAAATCTGTTTCTTATATTTCCTGGCACTCTTTAGTAATATACTTAATCACTATCATTGTGTTTCAGTATATAGTAAAACTATGTAAGATGATTGCTGTAGTCTGCCTAGCTTTAGAGGATTTTAAACTATGGGAAGTCTTGTTCTATATATACAAGCAAGTAGAGAAATTTGGGAAGTGGTGGTTAAGATCCTAGACTTTGGTGGGGGTAGAAGCTGTGATGCAGCTGGTTAAACCTCTGCCTGTGTTGCCAGCATCCCATATAGGCAGTGGTTTAAGTTCCAGCTGCTCCACTTCCAATACAGCTCCCTGCTAATGTGCCTAGCAAAGCAGTGAAAGATGGCCCAAGTACTTGGGTCCCTGTACCTTCATGGGAGACCCAGATGGAATTCCAGGCTCCTGGCTCTAGTCTGACCCAGCCTCAGCTGTTATTTCCATTTGGCAAGTGAATCAGCAGATGTCCCATCTCTCTCTCTGTCTCTCCTTCACTCTCTCTAACTCTGCCTCTCAAATAAATAAGGAAATCTTTTTTAAAACAATTAGACTTTAAAGTCACATGTCTGAAGTTTAAGTTTTGGTTATGCTGTCCTAGCTATGCTTTTTTTTTTTTAAAGAATTATTTATTTGAAAGAGAGAGGTAGAGCCAGAGAGAGAGAAGTCCTGCATTCTGCTGGTTCACTCCCCAAATGACTCACAGCAGGCAGAGCTGAGCTGATCCAAAGCCAGGAGCCAAGTAGTTAGGCCATTTTTTGCTGCTTTCCCAGGCCATAGCAAAGATCTGGATTGGAAGAGGAGCAGCTGGGACTTGAACCAGCGCCCACATGGGATGCCGGCATGCAGGCTAGGGCTTTAACCTGATGCGCCACAGCGCCAGCCCCTGGCTGTGCTATATTAGGGAAGTTACTCATCCCATCTGCCTCAGTTTATTCATTTGTATGCAGAGTGAGAATAATATCTTTATCTTGTGGACATTAAATGAGTTAATAAATGTAAAGGTCTTAAAATAGTGCCTAACATATAGTAAGGGCTCAGTAAATGTTAGTCATGATGACTGGCCAGTTTATTTATTAGTGAGATGCGATTTTTTACTCTCTGAAATGTCATGCTCAGGAAGGGAACAAAGACAGAGAAGGGGCTAAATACATTCATAATTCATGTATTTCTATTTTTCTTTTCTGTCTTAGAAGGAAAGGATGGTTAGAATTTTTTTTGTTACACTTTCTTCAGTAGTGTTCTGGTGGGAATGAAGTGACATATAATCATATAGTAACCCCTCACGTTGCTTCATTTTTGCAAGCACCCTAGTAATTGCAGCACAACAGTACAAACAATCATCTTCTATTTAGATTGTGTGATAGAGTGAAGGTTTGAATCCAGAGGATTTTCTTTAAAAAAAATTTTTTTATTTATTTATTTGAGAGGTAGAGTTACAGAGAGCGGGAGAGAGAGAGAAAGGTCTTCCATCTGCTGGTTCACTCCCCAAGTAGCCACAATAGCCAGAGCTGAGCTATCCAAAGCCAGGAACAGGAACTTCTTCTGGTCTGCCATGCAGAAATAGGGGCCCAAGCACTTGGGCCATCTTCTACTGCTTTCCCAGACCATAGCAGAGAGCTGGATCGGAAGTGGAGCAGCTGGGATACAAACCAATGCCCACTGGGATGCTGGTGCTATAAGCTGAAGGCCCCAGAGAGTTTTCTTATATAGTTCATATTTCCATTGTAACTGTGAATATCAGAATCTTATTCTTTAGACTGTGGCTGCCCTAAACTTACCTGAATTCTTTCTTTCCTTCCTTCCTTCATGTTAGTTTGATTCAGTACAGTTCAAAGGAATTAATAAGCATGCATTCATTACTGCCTGATGCTACATACCTAGGAGAGCAGAGTCACCTACAAATGTCAGCCTTTCTGTCTGGGTTTACAGTACGTTATAATATTCTACCTTTCACTCCTGTGCCTCCTGAGCACCAGTGTGTTTAACCCATTGCTGCAAAAGCTGTCATAAAACATTCTTTAATGTAGAAAAGGTTGTGTTGCACTTTACTTTGAAGAAAGTACACCATAAAAGCAGTCAACAAAGAAACAGTGGTTATAGTCTGACTTCTATTTTATCTTTAATAACATTTATATTATAAAAGTGTCACTTTCTGTGGAATGATATATGTACTGGAGTATTTAAGTATTGGAACTGAAACCCCAGCATTTCATATGGGGATATACAGTACTAGGCCTAGCTTGTTTCTGTTCTGTGACTTTCATGTGTATAGATGAGGAAATATTATTCTAAAACAAATATGAAGCCGGCGCCGTGGCTCAATAGGCTAATCCTCCACCTTGCGGCGCCGGCACACCGGGTTCTAGTCCCGGTTGGGGCGCCGGATTCTGTCCCGGTTGCCCCTCTTCCAGGCCAGCTCTCTGCTATGGCCAGGGAGTGCAGTGGAGGATGGCCCAGGTGCTTGGGCCCTGCACCCCATGGGAGACCAGGAAAAGCACCTGGCTCCTGGCTCCTGCCAGGATCAGCGCGGTGCGCCGGCTGCAGCGGCGGCCATTGGAGGGTGAACCAGCGGCAAAGGAAGACCTTTCTCTCTCTGTCTCTCTCTCTCACTGTCCACTCTGCCTGTCAAAAAAAAAAAAAATAAAATTAAAAAAAAAAAAAAAACAAATATGATAAGACTACATTAATTGGCTGAAAAGCCCATGAGGGCATTTCAGGCATGGAAAGCCAAGACACTGGCAAAAAATGTTCTACATGGAGGATCTCTGTGAGTGAGACCCCAGCAGAAAGAAGTGGCCATCAAAGGAGGATGTACTTTCTCTAAAGGGAAGAAAGAACGTCCACTTTGCTTATGGCCTTGTCCATATACTGATAGAGTTTATGGACTGAAAAGGCTTCCATAGCCTTGGCAGCTCATGTCAAGAGCCTCGGGTGGTCACTGATCTCATACATAAGAGTGTTAATTGTTAAGTTAACAACAGGAGTCACTGTGCACTAATTCCCCATGAAGGGAGTTAAGAAGTTGTATTACAAGAGTTAACTATAAAACTAGTTCTCAGTTTGTGTGTGTACGTGTGCAAATTATTGAAATCTTAGTATAGAGTTGGTCTTCTGTGTACAAATTTAATTGAAAGTGAATCTTAATGAAGAATGGAACTGGCAAGGGGAGAAGGAGGAGGGATGGAAGTGTGGGTGGGTTGGCGGGTATGATGAGAAGAATAACTATATTCCTATAGTTGTACTTATGAAATTATTATTCCTTAAAAAATAAAGACTACATTAATGCAGCAGTGGGAATTAAGAGACCTAGTTATTTCTGAAATGTGTCTATTCTAGGGTCTATAAACTCTCTATATCTCAGTTTCCTCATTGAGAAAAGAGTTTTATTGGGGGATAAATGGATTGACAGTGTTTAGAACAGTGGCACTTACAAAATACTTGTGTGGGTTTTTTTTTCCTTTTTTTTTTTAAGATTTTATTTATTTGAGAGGTAGAGTTACAGACAGTGAGAGGGAGAGACAGAGAGAAAGGTCTTCCTTCCGTTGGTTCACTCCCCAGATGGCTGCAACGGCCGGAGCTGTGCCGATCCGAGCCAGGAGCTTCCTCTGGGTCCCCGACGTGGGCGCAGGGGCTCAGCACTTGGGCCATCTTCTGCTTCTATCCCAGGCCATAGCAGAGAGCTAGATCTGGAGTGGAGCAGCTGGGTCCCAAACTGGCGCCCGTATGGAATGCCGGTGCTTCAGGCCAGGGCATTAACCCACAGCGCCGGCCCCCAGAATACTTTTCTTAAAAAAGTTTGTTTACTTATTTATTTAAAACAACGATAGAGCAAGAGATCTTCCATCCACTGGCTCACTCCCCAAATGCCTGCAATGCTGGGGCTGGACCAGGCTGAAACCAGGAGCCAGGAGCTCTGTCTAGGTCTCCCTTGTGGGTGGTGGGAACCCAAGTACTTGTGTTCTCATTCCACCACATACTTGGGCCGTCATCTGCTTCTTCCAAAGTGCATTAGTGGAAAGTTGGATGGGAAGTGGAGGCCGGACTCCATCCCAGGTACTGTGATATAGGAGGCAGGTGTCCTGAGTGGCGGCTTTACCTGCACCCACCCCCACAAAGCACTTTTAACTGTTAGCTGTTCTTATTGTCATCCTGCTCATTATCATACTTGTAACAATGGTTTAAAGAGAAAGATTGACATAATTTTTTTTAACTTTTTTTTCTTCTATTCAGATGACCTGTGTAGAAAAAGCAGGAACAGATGAGAAAATGCTCATGAAAGTCTTTCGTTGTTTGGGAAGTTGGTTTAACTTGGGAGTTCTGGACAGTAACTTCATGGCTAACAATAAGTTACTAGCACTCCTTTTTGAGGTTTTGGTAAGTAATGACTTTAAGTATTCCTGCCACAGTCACTTGGTCACTAACCTTCAAGACCACAATGTGTTCAGATGTCTGCACAAGGACTGGGAGGTGTATAGTCAGAAAGCAGCAGCATCCTCTCTGCTGCCAAGAATCAGGTGTTACAGGATCAGTGTTAATGCTCAGAGTAGTGTAGTCATGTTGAAGGCAGTCATATGATAAGGTAAGTGATGTACATGTTAAAAACCAAGTAACAAAAAACCATTTGTCTGTTCGTCCTTGTTTTCTTTTTTAACACTTATTTTTTTTAAAAAGATTATTTGAGAAGTAGATTTACAGACAGAGGGAGAGACAGAGAGAGATGTCTTCCATCTGCTGGTTCACTACTCAGATGACTGCAATGGCTGGAACTGGGCCGATCCAAAGCCAGGAGACTGGCGCTTCTTCTAGGTCTCCCACGCAGGTGCAGGGGCCAAAGGACTTGGGGCATCTTCTACTGCCCTCCCAGGTCATAAGTAGAGAGCTGGATTGGAAGAGGAGCAACCAGGGTACTAACTGTTGCCCATATAGGATGCTGGCACTGCAGTTGGAGGCTTAAGCGACTACACCACAGCACCAGCCCCAGTCCTTATTTTAAAAATAGAAAACTGTATTTTTTTTGCTTCAACTTTTTTTTTTAATTTGTTTTAAAAATTTTTATTAATATAAATAAAACAAATTTCATGTATTTTATAGCTTCAATTCTAAGAATGTAATGAGGCTTCTCTCTCTTCTCCCTTCCTTTTTCTTTGAATTTTTGTAATGACATATTTTTAATTTACTTCACAATCACAGGCTTAATCCTCTACTAAATAAAGAGTTCAACAAATATAAATTAGACCATTTTTTTCACAAGAATATAGACAAAGGGCTGTAAATAATATTCAAATCACAAGATGTCAGTTTGACTCATATTAAGGGTTTTTTTGTGTGTGTGCTCTATATATTAACTGCCACAATCAGAGAAAACATTTGTCTCTTGGGGTCTGGCTTATTTCACTAAGCATAATGATCTCCCATTGCATCAATTTTGTTGCAAAAAATAGAATTTAGTGTTTTTTTAATGTCTGAGTAGTGTTCCATAGTAGGTATATACATTTTCTTTATCCAGTGATCAGTTGATGGATGTCTGGGTTGATTCCACATCTTAACTATTACGAATTGAATTGCTATAAACATGTGATAAAATTGTATTCTTAATGATGGTCATTGGCTCTTTGACATTACCCTGACATAATTATTGGTGTAATAACAATTTAGAAAATACAGAATGGAAGGAATTTAAAAAAATTTTTTTTAATTTATTAGACAGGTAGAGTTACAGACAGAGAGAGAGAGAAAGGTCTTCCTTCCGTTGGTTCACTCCCCAAATGGCTGTCACTGCCGGAGCTGCGCTGATCTGAAGCCAGGAGGCAGGCACTACCTCCCAGTCTCCCATGATAATATAATGAGTATTTTTGGGCCCACCAATCAAATGTTAAGAATAACTCAATGAATAGTGTGCTCTGTTTTAAAGTACCCCCCACAAATTCTAAATGTCGTAGTTTTTTCTTAAGATGAATATGTTTTCACTAAATTTATCCACCTTCTCATCTGTATTCTTTAGAAACCCTCTCTGATTCTTGAACTTCCTGGTTTGTTCTAACTTGTATCAGTTCTTCTTTAGATTACTCCTCAGCTGTCATCACTGCTTTTCTCAGACCAGTAGCAGGGATCTGGATCAGAAGTAGAACAGCTGGGACATGAACTGGTGCCTGTATGGAATGCCGGCATTGCAGGTTGCAACTTTACCCAGTGTGCCACAATGCCAGCCCCATGGCATTCCATTTAAAAGGGCTAGTATAAACAAAAACATGGAGGTTAGAAACCATACTACTGTGGTTGAGGTACACAAAGGTTGATTTGCTTGGCATATGGAGAAAGAGAATTGGGACGATTGATGGATATTTGTCTTATGGAAGGCCATGGCTATGAGGCTGTTATATAAAGTGCACATTCAGAAAGGTTTTAATTGTTTTCCTATCACTTGGAATGATCCTATTTGTTTACCTTTTCCTCCTATCTCCTAGCAACAGGATAAAACCTCGTCCAACCTCCATGAAGCTGCTTCAGACTGTGTGTGCTCAGCTCTCTATGCCATTGAAAATGTGGAGACTAATTTGCCATTAGCCATGCAACTTTTTCAGGGAGTCCTGACATTGGAGACTGCCTATCATATGGCTGTAGCTCGAGAAGACTTAGATAAGTGAGTAATTATTTAAGGGAAGAGCCCTGGGTTTTCCTACAGACTGGGTATTCTTTTTAACTATTTACTTTGAATGGTTTGTTCGTTTATTTGAAATGCAGAATGACAGAAAGAGAGTGAGTCAGAAAGAGATCTTCTATCCACTGGTTCACACCCCAGATGGCCTCAATAACCAGGGCTGGACCAGGCTTAAGCTCCATCATGGTGTGCCACATGGGTGTTAGGGACCCAAGTACTTAGGCCATCTTCCACTGCCTTCCAGGCACAGTAACAAGAAGCTGGATCAGAAGTGGAGTAGCTGGGACAACCCAATTCACCATAACACTGGTACCCCCAGTTCACTTTTTATTAATTCATCTATCATTTATGATTCTTAGTGATTCAGTGTAAGTATAAAAGCAGTGCATTCTTAAGATACTGTATTATCTGAACCTAGAGGGGCAAATTGGATGCCGAAGGAGAGGCTGTAGAATTGCCAGTCATGCAAAGTAGTGATTTTTTTGCTATTATAATCAGGAATAAACTTTAAAATATCAAGAGTAATTTGATAAGCATTTTTTTTTTTTTTCAAATGTTTTAGTATTGGAGAATGTGCCATCTAAGTAAAGGTGTTTGTCATGGACATTGTAATACAACACAGGAAGTAATCACTAGATGTCCCTTAGACTGAGGAACCTTTTATTTGATTAACTGTGTCTGTTAGTGTGTACATATAATATCTAGATTTCTGACTTGATGTTCTCATTCCTCTTTCTTCTACAGAGTTCTGAATTACTGCCGTATTTTCACTGAACTGTGTGAAACTTTTCTTGAAAAAATTGTTTGTACTCCAGGCCAGGGTCTTGGGGACCTACGAACTCTGGAGCTGCTTCTTATCTGTGCAGGGCATCCTCAGTATGAGGTAGTGTCTGTACTGTACTAAGGTCATTGTGCTCCAAGCGGTATATTGTGTACTGTCTGTATTCCAGTGCCTCATGCCCCACCTTTGACTTGAGAAGCTGTAGTCTGGGTTTTTAAAAAATTGATGCATTTGAGAGGCAGAGAGAAAGAGGTCTCTGGACAGAGAGCTCCCACCCACTGGTTCAGTCCTCACATGCCTGGAACCAAGCTAAAGCTGGCAACTCAAAGCAGGTGTCCCACGTGATAGCAAGAACCTGATTACTGAGGCCCCCACTGCTGCCTCCCAGGGTCTGCATTAGCAGGAAGCTGGAGTCAGGAACTTGACAGGGGCATCAAACCCGTTCACTCCTTTGTGGGAGTCAACCATTCAGCTGAATGCCTGCTGCCTGTGTTGGAATTTTTAAAAAGTTGTGCTCAAGTTTCTGCTTTGAATCCTGTTTGTTTGTTTGTTTTTGTTTTTTTCTTTTTGAATCCTTTTCTTTTGTTGCTGTTTTTCACCCAGTGAGGTAGGCTGATTGACAAGTATCTCAAGGAACCCTTTAGAAAGAAAGCCTGTTACCTTTACTCTGAGCCCCTTTCTAGTGCCAAGTACTTTGTAGAGCTTTACAGCTAAATCATACCACATCCTAACTGTACTCCACAAGTCTCTTAACACCCCCAGGTTTTCTCCAAATATGAGAAAAAACTGAGAAAGACACTGAAAGGATTTGAGTCGCCTTTATTTAAAAGTCTTTAAGACATCCTAAGATTGTTCAATATTTAGAGATTATCTTATCTGAGAAGTTTTACCTCTTACTTGTAATATCAAGAAGTGAGAAAGAAGTCCTCTCCAACTGAACAATTTTTAACAAATAGCTGTACAACTATTTTGGATCTTTGATGGGAAAGGCATGGTAGAGCCCCTTTTACTTTTTCATTACTACTTAAAAATAACATTTGTTATACATAATCTTATGAGAATATCTAAATTCAGATGAAACGCAAAACATTTTTGGGAGAAGTGTAGCATTGTACAATAATATCCCTCTATAAACAATGCCATATGGAAGACAGGCTGTGAGTAAAATCTCAGGCTGCTTCTACCTCTCTCTCCCACTCAAGAAAGCAAGCAAGAGGCTGGCACTGTGGTGCAGTGGGTTAAGCCTTCACCTGCAGTGCTGGCATCCCATATGGGCACTACTTTGAGTCCTGGCTGCTCCACTTCCCATCCAGCTCACTGCTAATGCACCTGGTAAAGCAGCAGAGGATGACCCAAGTGCTTGGGCCCCTGCACCCACATGGGAGACCGGGATGCAGCTCCTGGCTCCTAGCTTCGACCTGGCTTAGCTCTGGCTGTTATAGCCATTTGGGACGTGAACCAGCGGATGGAAGATATCTCTTTCTCTCTCTCTAACTCTGCCTTTCAAATAAATAAGTAAATTTTTGAAAAAAAAATAAGGCAAACAAATAAAAAATGGCATGAGCCTGGTTCAGTTATGTTCAGAGAATTATGGATGGCTTGCCTGGTAAGAAATGTTCTAATATCAAACATATGATGAAATTATTTCCAGATTGGGGGGGGGGGGATTCTTAAAAAGAAACTTCCATTTCTGTGTATTTCTCTAAATTCAGAATCCAGTATACTTTTGTAGAAGTTCTTAGAGCTGAACAGGGAAGCCAGTCTCTCTAACTGGAGTTCGGCACCTCACATAGAAAGATACTTGGGTGGATAATAGTAAGGAAAGGTGGCTTCTTAACTGGTTCTACTTATGCTATTTGAAAGTATTATCTTTCTTCTTGCATGCCCTAGTAACTATAAGATTTTTGTTCTGTTCATTTTCCATTAAAATAAATAATCTTTTGTCTTTGTATCTAACAGGTAGTAGAAATTTCTTTTAACTTCTGGTACAGACTAGGGGAACATTTGTACAAAACTAATGATGAGGTCATTCACGGCATCTTCAAAGCTTACATTCAGAGACTGCTTCATGCCTTGGCTCGACACTGCCAGTTGGAACCAGACCATGTAAGTTTTTTGGGTTTTTGTTGTTGTTGTTGTTCTTGTTTTTGGTAAGTTTATTTTTTCAAACCTTAATTTCCTCTTTTCAAGACAGAAAAGCTAGAGAATAAAACTAATGGAATGTATGCATTTTGTCACTCTTCAGCCTCCAGTGAAGAAGTCAGTACCGGTGTAATGAAAAGCAGTAGGCCTGTGTGTTAGCTTGTCTGGTTCAATTCCCAGCTATTCTGCACTTCAGCTTCAGCTTCCAGCTAATGAATTGGGAGGCAGTGGATGATGGTCCAAGTACTTGGGTTCCTGCCACCCACATGAGAGAGCCAGATGGAATTCCCAGCCTCTGGCTTCTGCCAGCTGTACCAGGCATTTGGGGAGTGAACCAGCAGATGGAAGATATCAATGTCTTCTCCTCTCTGTCACTCTTCCTTTCAAATAAAGATTTTGAAGGAAAGAGGGAGAGATGGTTCACTCCCCAGATGGCCATAATGGTCAGCTCTGGGACAGGCTGAAGCCAAGAGCCAAGAGCCTCATCTGAGTCTCTCACATGGGTAGCAGGAACCCAAACACTTGGGGCCATCTTCCACTGCTTTTCCCAGGCCATTAGCAGGGATCTGGATCCCAAGTGGAGCAGCCAGGACAAGAACCTATGCCCACAGGGGTTGCCTGCCTTGCAGGCAGCGCCTTGATGCACTACACCACAATACCAGCCCCAATAAAGAAATCTTTAGGAAAAAAAAAAAATCACTCCTGAGTCAGCAATTATTCTTCTGGGAATTTATCTTAAGTAATTCTGCTGAAGGAAAACAGCTATTTTTATGGAGAAAACATGGTCTATAAAAGTATAATATGATAAACTTGTGTACAGCAGTATAAGAAGAGTTAATATAAATTATATAGCAACTTGATGGATCATCATGCAGCAATTGAGTAACCATTGAAGTAACAATAGTAGGCTAAGTGAAAAAATCAGAATGTAAATTTTATACTCTGGGGCTGGCACAGTGGTGGAGCAGGCGTGCCATATGGGTGCCAGTTCTAGTCCCGGCTGCTCCACTTCCGATCCAGCTCTCTGCTATGGCCTGAGAAAGCAGTAGAAGATGGTCCAAGTCCTTGGCCCCTGCACCCATGGTGGGAGACCCAGAAGAAGCTCCTGGCTTCAGATCGGCACAGCTCCAGCCGATGCAGCCAGTTGGGGAGTGAACCAGTGGATGGCAGATCTCCCTCTCTCTTTCTCTCTCTCTTTCTCTGCCTCTCCTCTCTGTAACTCAACTTTCAAATAAATAAATAAATCTTTTTTAAAAAATTTTTATTCTCTGACTTTAATAGTGTAAAATATGTGATTAGGTTACAACTAGTATAAGACTAAGATGTTTTGAGGATATTGGAAATCACATATTTTCCCCAACTTATATACATAATTTTCTTTGTTATTTATACTGATTTTATAATTCTAAAGAAAATATAGGAATAATCTGTTTGCTTATCAGAAAGCATACTAGAAATGTTATGACATGAGCATTGGAAAATGCTCAACCTCCATGTTTTGCTTAGTCTCTTCAAATATTTCTGCATCTTTTTCATCTTTTTGGTTGGTTTATTTAATCTCTGTCCTTTTATGTAGGACCTATAGTAGGTTTACTTGCATACAAGTAAATCAGACACAATATTCTCTTAATTTTTTTTTTACAGATTTATTTATTTATTTGAAAGGCATAGTCACAAAGATGCAGAGGCACAGAGAGAGAGAAATCTTCCATCTGCTGGTTCAATCTCCAAACGGCCGCAACAGCCAGAGCTGGGCCGATCCAAAGTCAAGAACCAGCAGCTTCTTCTGGGTCTCCCATGCAGGTGCAGGGACCCGAGTACTTAGGCCATCTTCTACTGCTTTTCCAGGCCATAGCAGAGAGCTGGATGGGAAGTGGAGCAGCCAAGACTGGAACTGGCACCCATATGGCACACCAGCACTGTAGATAGCAGCTTTACAAAACAAAACAAAGCAGGGCCCCTTGGTATAAATGTCCCTACCTGCTAGATTGCCTTCTTCTGTTTGCTAGCTCTGTGGCACCATTTTTCTTACAGCTGTTCCTTACACTTAAAAGTCTACAGTGCTTGTAATTTCTGTAGTGTTTCCTAATTGTAATCTGTTGTTTCGTGTGATAGCTATCATTTCCACCTTATTTGTTGACCCTTATTTTGTTAGTGTGAAGCAAGGATCTTGGACTAGATCAGTAGTACTAAAACCTTTTTCCTAGAGGGAATAGATATGCATACTGGGGCATTTTGGCGAGATGTATGGGGCAGGCTGGGCAAGGAGAGTGTCCAGTCTCTGAGCCAGTAAAGCTGTGCTAGTTTGGGGGGGAAAAGTCACCCTTTTCCTAGTATTCATGGCCTAAGATTCTTATACATGCTGCAAACAGAAGCTGACTTACAGAAGTAAGTATTGAAATAGGATTGATTTAAGAAGTGTGAAATATAAATTATCTCAATTGTTTAATGAAGAAAATATGATACATGCATGACAAATGAAGTAGTCTTATAATGAGTATCTATATATCTACCACCTAAATTCTAACATTCATATTTTTATATACTTGTTTTATTATGTATCTGTCTACCAATATGAAATGCTTTTTAAAGTCTAAAAAAAATTTTTTTTTAATTTATTATTTATTTGAGTGGTAGAGTTACAGAGAGAGGGAGAGACAGAGAGGTCTTCTATCCTCTGGTTCACTCCCCAGATGGCTGCAACAGCTGGAGCTGGGCCGATCCAAAGCTGGGAACCAGGGCTTCTTCTGGATCTCCCATGTGGATGCAGGGGCCCAAGCACTTGGGCCATAGCAGAGAGCTGGATTGGATGAGGAGCAGCCAGAACTTGAACCAGCGCCCACAGGCCGATGCCTAACCTACTGTGCCACAGCGCTGGCCTCATAAGTTGTTTTTTATATGAAGTTATCGTGATGGTTGATCATGGAAGTTCTTGAACTTTAGCTTCAGAGACTTGTTCGGTATCAGAGACCCATAGCTACGTTTTCCAGGTCACTTCCTTCTCCCTGCGACTACTACATTTTGTTAAAACAAGGTGTAGCTTGGAATTACAAAACGCACACATAGTCCTAAAGTTTCTCATCATACAGATAGAAGATAGGTTGTATAGACTTGACATATGTAACAGTTTGGGAGACCCTATATCTACAACTACCTTGTGACTTTTTTGGGAAATTTTTGGGACTTAGCTTTATTCTTTACTCTTTATTTTATGGAAGACAATGAAAGCCTCCATTGTTTTAAAACAAATGTTATCTGATTTCAGGAGGGAGTTCCTGAGGAGACTGATGACTTTGGGGAGTTTCGGATGCGGGTGTCAGACCTGGTGAAGGACTTGATTTTTTTGATTGGGTCTATGGAGTGTTTTGCTCAGGTAAGCCCATTTGGAAATTCTTAGTAGTTTCTTGATCACCTGTGTTCACTCCTGTGTCTTCTGTTCTGTCTTCTTCAAAGTCTTTGGCTAAATGGAATAAGAGATATGCAGGTGCCTAGCACACTGCCTGGCATATAGTAGCTGTGTTTATTTATCATCTCACAAGCCAATCGCAGTCTATGGTTCAGTTATGGTTTATGCTATAAAGAACTATAAGTGCTGTGCCACTTCTGCAGCTAGAGTGAAGGATCATAGATAAGATTAAAGCCTCAAGGAAACTTCTAAGGAATTTGGACCTAAGCAGGCAAAATAGGAACACTTTCTTGCTTTACTAATTATGTATCAACTCCTAGCAACTCTTTTAGTTATCTGATATTTACTTTGTCCATGCTTAGGGTTAGAATCCTGTGCGCTTTCATCCCAGGGTTACCATGGTAGAGAAGAAGATTCACAGTACTGTGGTTTTTGCGATAATCAGTAACATTTTACATCACGAGGTTGCAGTCATCGCCATTTCACATCAGCTGACATTAGAATAACTTCAGGAGATCTTCATATGCTGGATCATTCTCTAATAAGTTCTGAAATACTAGTTTAGATGCTTCGTCATGGCAGTACTAGACTAAACTAATTTTGCTTTTTTTGTTTGTTTTTAAACTCGACCATTTTGCATATATTTGTGCATAATATGATCCAGGAAGTGTTAATCAAGATTTAACATTTTTTTCCAGTGTGTTAAGCAGAGCATGATTATTCGTTCACGTATGAAAATTTGGGAGTTCTTAGAAAACATATCCAGTGAGATATTAGCCCATAGGCAACTATTCAGTACTCAGATTTCAACTCTTCTGACAGGCTCTGTGGCTTTAAGCAAGTCCATTAATCTCCTAATTTCAAATTTATAAATTATCAACATTGTTCACAATGTGTTCTGTAGAGTATTAGCTTCATGAGATGTTCTTCAGCAAAATAATAAATAAAAAATTTTTAAACTGCATAGATGTAATCAATTAAAATTAGGAAATGGTTCAAATAGTATATTAAAGATTCAGAAAAGCTATACAATAAGAAAATTGCTTAATTTTGTCTTCCTCTGGCAGTCTTTGTTATCTGACTATAAAATTCTTATTTACTCTAACACCTGATCATACTTCACAGAAGGATGTAATCTGGGAAATTCTTTACTAGAACATCGCTGAGTAATCTGCTAGGTCTACCTTTTAAAAAATTCTACTTGGATATATTATTGTGATAGGTGCTGCTAAGCAGCTGCTTGTTACCAATTTAATCTGTGCTGCCCATGTTTATACAGACAAGTGCTTAAAAACGGTAGAAATGTAAAGCCAGCACATATAGACTTACATTGTATCTCCACTTTACGTCTATTTATCAGTTATTATCTAGACCAGAGACACTTGTGTAACATGTTTTGTTTTCCCCATAATGCTCATTTTCTGGAGGCAGATGATCACCTTGATAAAGTCTTTGAGATCTAAATGGATTTTAGATATTACAACAGTAGTTACTTCTAGTTAGGGAGGAGTAGAAAATTATTGTTTTTTCCTGGCTCTGAGAAGCAATTTGATTTAGAAACAAGGAGTCAGGTTTGTTATAACTGACAGGATTTTTTTTGTTTCATTTGTTTTGGAATTGTTTTCCTTTTAATGGATCCATAACCCACCTCTTCTTCTCTAGTTATATTCTACTCTGAAAGAAGGCAACCCACCCTGGGAGGTGACAGAAGCGGTTCTCTTTATCATGGCTGCTATAGCAAAGAGTGTTGATCCGTGAGTGTCTAATAAGTCTTTTGCTGGGAACTCTAAATATCAAGAGAAAAGAGAATTACACCATTTTTCTCTGATATGGTATATGCTTGGAAACTCTTAGAACTTCTTATGTCTGTGGTGCTGTCTAGTCTTGTGACTAGTAGAGTCTAATTAGGGTAGCCTTTATTGTTGATACCATGTTTTAATCACATTTCCTAGAGTTAAATTACTTTACTTTTGATGCTAGTAATAGCTGCTGATTTATTTTTCCAACTGAAGCTCCCTGTGAAAGTTGTGGTCAAAAATTTGGTAGACTGATAAATTGTTGGTACTTGCTGGTAGACATTAATTTGGGTCTCCTGCTTTTGTGGCCTTGGGTAAGTTATCCATATATATATATATGGATATATATATATATGGATATATATATATATATTTAGGTTGTTCTTTTTTCTCTGTCTCAGAAAATCATATGTTTGCTTCAGAGATGCAAGGCATAGACACCATTTTGCTTAAAATAGTAGCAAAATATGAAAGAATTATTTTTATTATTGCTATTGAAAAAATTTTAATGATTGAAATTTGATTTCTAATTGCTTAGCATAGAAATTTGGGGGCAGTGTTGTGGCATAGCAGGTAAAGTTGCCGCCTGTGATGCGGGCATTCCATATGGGCTCCAATTTGTGTCCTGGCTGCTCCACTTCTGATCCAGCTCTCTGCTAATGGACTGGGAAAAGCAGCAGAAGATGGCCCAAGTGTTTGGGCTTCTGACACCTACATGGGATACCTGGATGAAGGTCCTGGTTCCTGGCTTCAGCCTGGCCATTGTGGCCATCTAGGGAGTGAACCAGAGGATGGAAGATCGATCTCTCTCTCCCTCTCTGTCTTCCCCTTTCTGTGACTCGATCAAATAAATAAATTAATATTTTAAAAGGGCTTGTGTTAATGATATGAATCCCTAACGACAGAATTTACTTTGTACCATGAGTTCATACATTGGTGTCAAGTTACCTTGTTTTGTGATCAGATACCTGCAATTGAGCTCTCTATTTAGGGCCTTGATTGGAGAGATGGTTAGGGCAGAGAATTATAAAAAGCACAGTGCGTCCTTTTTAGCTGCTTTTTAGGGCCTAATCAACGAAACCTTATATTGTCTCTAATCCAATAAATATTCAAGGAGATAGAGTAGGTTTATTTTTCTTTGTTAAGAAGATCTTAATTATATGTCATGCTGTTTGATATTAAACCCATTTTGGTGTCTTTTGGAACCTGACATGACAGTTTGAAGATTATTAAAATCATTAGTATTCTGCCATATATTGGTTTGAAAAAATGAGGGTAGATTGTCTTCAGTGACTGACTTAGTGTCCCTGAGAAACAGGCATAAATGAAAGGAGATTTTATATATTTCTTTATCTGCATTTCAAGCCAACTGTGTGATTACAATTTTTAGTGCGTATAAAGGACTTAGTAGACCTGGTGTATCCGTAGGGGCTGCTCTTGTCTAGCTCAGGGTATTAGTTACATTTTAATCATCTTTCATCTCTGGATTAAGTTCTGTCACTTTGGAGGGATCCTCCACTCTGCTCAAAAGATCTTCAGCCAATGTATTTGGGGATTAAGAGAAAGTAAAGGGGAAAAAATGAATTCACGGAACTGTGGAAAGGTTTTGATTAACTTTAGTTTCCCCTTATGTTCCGGATCAGGGACCTTAATCTGTCCTGCAGCTTGTTTTCTTATTCTTTCAGTTAAGAAGCTGACCCACCCATGCTTTCTCCTGTTCTTAAGGTTTTCAATGTCTGGCTATATGATGTCCTTTGGAGAATAGCAACTAATAGAAAGTGATCAGTGAGAGTTATTCATTCGTCATTTAGCCATTCTGCAATATTTATTGAGTGCCCATTATGTGCCAGGCACTGTTCTAGGTGCTGCAGATAGAAGAATAAGTTAAAAAGATTCCTTAAAAGAAGATGTTTCATCCATAATAAATGTCTGCCTCTCCAATTTGAGGAAGCTGTATTTGATATCTTGTGTGTCTTTGGACACTTTGCTGGCATTCATAAGACTAAAGAGCAGCATGCTTCTCCTGAAACAATGATATTTTTCATTTCTGCCTTTTCCCCCTTTTATGAGAATTTGGAAAACTTTCACATCTGATGTTAAGTGCTTGTGTCTAGTGGTTATTTATTTAGAAAGAAGCCATTAGCAATGCTATGTGTTGCTGCAGCCTGTTATACAGCCAGGACACAACCTTTACAATCAGTAACTGTGAGTACTTCCTTCTGTATTCAGGGAGAATAACCCAACCCTCGTGGAGGTCCTGGAAGGAGTCGTCCGCCTGCCGGAGACTGTCCATACAGCTGTGCGATACACCAGCATTGAGTTGGTTGGAGAGATGAGTGAAGTAGTTGACCGAAACCCTCAGTTCCTTGGTATGTGTTAACTCTTGTCTCTGCTGCTGCTGCTGCTACCTGATTTTTCTCCCTCTCTTATTTTTGCTCTTATTTCTCTATTTTCTCTCTTTTTTTTTTTTTTTTTTTGATAGGTAGAATGTAGACACTGATAGGAAATATTATATTGTATGTTGCTTAGTTGATAGAAGATTTATAATCTGGTCTGGGAGAAGGACCTTTGAAAGATTAGATCTCCAGATACTGGAAAAATTTGCTTCTGTTATTCTGCTTAAACATGAACATTTCTGGGGCCCGCATTGTGGTGTGACGGGTTAAACTGCCACCTGTGATGCCAGCATCCTATATGGGTGCTGGTTCAAGTCCTGGTTGCTCTGTTTCCAGTCCAGCTCCTTGCTAGTGCACCTGGGAAAGCAGCAGAAAATGGCCCAAATCCTGGGGTCACTGCACCCATGTGGGAGAGCTGGATGAAGCTCCTGGCTCTTGGCTTTAGCCTGGCCATTGCGGCCATTTGGGAAGTGAACCAGTAGGTGGACGATCTCTCTATGTAACTATGCCTTTCAAATAAATAGATCTTAAGAAAAAAAAATGAACATTTCTGTCATTGTTGGTCTTTGACATACTCATTTGTTTTAGCTAATCAGACTCTACTATAGTTAGTTCTAACCCAGAAGCTACTCAGAGGTTAAAGCATAGGAAAGGGTTTTCTTAGTGTTGAATGAATCCTACATTTAAAAAAAGAATTATCATTGGATGCTAAATACACACAACTTAAAATGAAGAGTACTGGGCCAGGCATTTAGCCTCGTGGTTAAGATGCCTGCATTCCACATTGGAGTACATGGCTTTATACTCAATTTTGTTTCCTAACTCCAGCATTCCTGCTAATGCAGACTCTGGGAGGCAATGGACATGGCTCAAGTAATTGAATCCCTGCCACCCACATGGGAAAACTGCATTGAGTTTCTAGCTCCTGGCTCTGGTCTGGCTCAGCCCCAGCTATAAAGGGAGTGAATCAGCAGATGCCTGCCTGCCTGCCTGCCTATCTGCCTCTCAAAGAAACAGAGAAAGAAGAAAGTTGAGTTATATAACCTCTAGCTGCCTTCATTTACTTGAGAAAATAACTGAAGATCTTAAATTTTAAAACTGAAACCGAAGATAAAATTAGAAATCATTTATTCTAACCTCTTTAGTTTTTTTAGGATTTGCTTTTTTTTTTTTTTTTTTCCCGTTTCCTATTTAAAAGACAGAGAAAGAGATCAATATTCTGTCCGCTGGTTTACTTCTCAAAGGACTGGCTGGGCCAGGCCAAAGCCAGGAACCTAGAACTCCATCCAGGTCTCCCATCTGCTGCCTCCCAGGGTGCATTTTAGCAGGAAGCTGGATCAGAAGCAGAGGAGCCAGGATTCAAACCAAGCACTCCAATATGGGATGCAGGTTCAATATAGGTGCTGGTTCAAGTCCTGGCTGCTCTATTTCCAATCTAGCTCCCTGCTAATGCATGTGGGAAAGCAGCAGAAAATGTCCCAAATCCTGGAGTCACTGCACCCAGTCTTTAACTGCTGCATCAAATGCCCATCCCTCTAATCCAGTTTTGCAGATAGATAGAGACTAATTAATCCACAGTAATATATAGTAACCCCCTGACATCTGAAAGGGATACATTCTGAAACTTCAAAGAGTCCTCAAATTTGTGTTGTTATATCATTAAGTTTAATGTGTTTCCTGTGCATATCTTTACTATTGTTTTTTTACTTGATTTTATTTTACACATCTGTTTTAGTGCCTGAAACACTTACCAAGAAGAGTGACTGTTCTCTTTTCTTATTTCTGTTTGTATAGTGTATGAAATGCTTACATCATAACTGAGCCATTTTACAAGTTCAGTGTATCATTTTAAAATGTTTTCAAAGTACCTGTTTTCTAATGCTTACATTTCTTTACTTCCATTATCTGCCTCAACATTTGGCTTTCTTTTGTAAACTGTTCTTCCACAAGGAAATAAAGTAGGTTTGTCTTTTTTTTTTAGCTTGATATTTTCACTGTATGTCTAGTAAGCCGCAAAGCTAGGTTGAACTATGGACCACCTGCGGTGTTTCAGATTTGTGCCTCAGCAGTAGATAAATTGTTATATGTTTGTATTCTAGAAGAGTCAAAAGCATGAATATTCAGTTTAAGAGCCACAAAAGTGCAGTGTTAGGGTTGCTTGGGCTACTTTTAGATTCTAGATTTTCTGTGATTCTTAGGTTAAATGCGCATAGGTTTTGTGGGAAGAGAGCAAATTGTACTGAGTTGTACATTTTTTTTTGACCATTAGACTACAAATGGATATAATGGCATTAGTCCTTAAGAGATAATTCTGTTTTTAAATTGTGTGTGTGTGTGTGTGCATATTTTAGAGCTTTATTTATTTATTTTACTTGAAAGGCAGAGTTACAGAGAGGCAGAGGCAGAGAGAGAGAAAGATCTTCCTTCCACTGGTTCACTCCCCAAATGGCTGCAATGGCTGGAGCTGAGCCAATCTGAAGCCAGAAGGCAGGAACTTCTTCTGGGTCTGCCACACGTGTGCAGGGGCCCAAGGACTTAGGCCAGCTTCCACTGTTTTCCCAGGGCATTGCAGAGAGCTGGATCAGAAATAGAGCGGCCGGGACTTGAACCGGTGCCCATATGGGATGCTGGCACTGCAGGTGGTGGTTTCAACCATTTATGGGTTTTTTTGTTTTTTTTTTTTTGTTTTGTTTTGTTTTTTTTTGTTTTTTAAGGATTTATTTATTTATTTGAAAGAGTTACAGAGAGAAAGAGATCTTCCATCTGTTGATTCAATCCCCAGTTGGCCTCAGTGGCCAGGGCTGAACCAGGCTAAAGCCAGGAGCTTCATCTAAATCTCCCACATGTGAGGCAGGGACCCAGGTACTTACTTTTCCCAGGCCATTAGCAGGGAAATGGATCAGAAGTAGAGCAGCCAGGACACGAACCAGCACCCATGAGTAGAATATGCTCCATAGAAATTTGCCTTTACAATCAGCTTTATTGTAACACTTAACATTTGATAAAATTAAAACTTAGTGAATTGATTGGTATAGATTATCTCCATGATTTAGGGCCTTTCATAACTAGAAAGAAACAAGTGTGTCCGCTTCAGGCAGCTATCATTGTCTTGGTTGATGCAGGCTTTTTGACCAACTGATTCATCTCTGAGTATAATAGTAACTCTTGAGCCTTGTCTTCTTGTATTACCATATATGAGTAACTGAATGGCCATGTGTGCTCTTAAGTCAGTGGTTTTCAGTCTGTGCTCTGAGTGCACAGGGTTGGTTACAAGGACCACATGGCTGCCATGAGGGAAGAAATGGGAGATGAACTAGATAACGCTCAGGGCCCAATTACACTGTGTCAGTGAGAGCAGTTCTACTTTTATATGTTTTTAATACTGGGGTTCTGAACACATTTCATTTTCAAAAAGGGTTTTTTAATTTTTATTTTAAAAAAGTATGTAAACTGTGTTATAACAAACTAGGAATTTTCCATGAGTTGCAGATATATCATCTCTGCCTGGCTTTTCTCCTAGACCCCGTGTTGGGCTATCTGATGAAAGGCCTGTGTGAAAAGCCCCTGGCTTCTGCTGCAGCGAAAGCCATTCATAACATTTGCTCTGTCTGCCGAGATCACATGGCTCAGCACTTCAATGGACTCCTGGAGATTGCACGTTCTCTTGATTCCTTCATGTTGTCTCCAGAAGCTGCTGTGGGCCTGCTGAAAGGTATTTGCTTATGATATTAACCAGTAACGGTCTCCTTTAAGCCACTGCCTGGTGTCATCTTGGATCAGTCGTATCTCCGTTTTTCAGTTGTAATGTACGTAGCATTGGGGAACACGGCTTTTTGACTCAGCATGCAGGGTGTTGACTGTTCTTAGACTGTTGTGAGGCTATGTAATTCATACAGCTTGCAGTATGTATAACACAGACCAAGAGTTTGAATGGAGATGGTATATTTAAACTAAACATAGTTGCTTTGTAAATTGGAAGAAGAAGAATTAAACGAAAGACCAAATAACACATTGTCATATCCAAGAGATAAGTGGAAATTGAAAAGTGGAGTGTGCGTGGAACAAGGCCATAAGTAAAACTAAGGGTCGTGGTCTTTATTAGTACTGATTGGCTTATGCCAAGTGATTGCTTATCCAGAGGCAAACAGCTTTTGTGGTGAGGAGGCTCAGATGAACTCAGGAAGAAATTATATTAATGTTAGGAAAAAAGACTTACGAACAGACTTTAAATGTGATGGCCATTTTTAAAAAATTTTATTTTACTATCTGTTTGAGAAGCAGCAAGATAGATAGAGCTTCTATCTGCTGGTTTACTCTCTGAGTGCCCTCAAGAGCTAAGGCTGGGCTGAGGTCGAAACTGAAGCCAGGAGCCCAGAACTCAAGTCTCCCATGTAGGTGGCAGGAACCCAAGCAGTTGAGTCATTACCACTGCTTCTGAGGGTCTGCATTGGCAGGAGCGTTTTCTCGTTAGACTTTGTGGAGATAGATTGAAGTGCCCTGTGAGGTATTGAAATCCTTGCAGATGGTAAATTAGAGGGGCTTGGAGTATGTCAAATAAAGGGCTGGGCTATATGAGCTGTGCAGTGTTCTAGGCCCCATGAGTGTCAGGCAGTTCACAAGAGTGCGTGGCCTCATGTGTGAACTGATGCTCTTTCTCATTTCTGTGAATGTGGCTATGCGTTTTCTACAGATTTTCTTTTTGTACAATGGGGTTTTTTAAAATTTCCCTTCATAGGCATAGATAACATGACATTAAATCTGAGTCAAATATTCTTTCTTATCATTTTCTGGTGAAATTTACCTGGATACTAAAGTGATATGTAAACTTTTAGAATATGGCCTAGCAGGGGCCCAAACAGTCGGGCCATTTGCTGCTGCTTTCCCAGGCACATTAGCAGGGAGCTGGATCTGAAGTAGAACAACCGGGATTGAAACTGGCGCCCATAGCCGGTGTCACAGGCAGTGGCTTTACCTACAACACCAGCCCCCTGTGCTGATATTTCTAGATCAATGGAACCTATCAGCTTTTCGTGTTAACTTGTGTGATGTAGACCAATTAATGGATGTCCCTCGCTCGGTTCAGCCTTTATTGCCCTCATGTGCGTCCTCATTTGTTTTTCAGGGACAGCGCTTGTCCTAGCCAGGTTACCTTTGGATAAGATTACTGAATGTCTTAGTGAACTGTGTTCTGTTCAGGTCATGGCTTTGAAAAAGGTGAGTCCAATTAAGTAAGGCATGAAACAAGTAAAAGATACTTATATGTTAGAAAGGAAAATATTTTAAAATTGCTTATTTATAGATAATCTTTCATCTACCTAGAAAACCCAAGAGAATTACCTAAATATAAGTCTTCGGAAGTTGTTACATGTGGAGAATAATCATTTCAAAATCAGTAGGTTCTTATTGTGCTCGTAATGGACAGTTAGAAGATATAATGGGAAAAGATCATTCAAATGTTTCCTTGAAGACTGTTTTAGAAGATGTCACCTCATCTCCAGTCACATTTGTGGTCAATAACTGTAGACATAGCAAGGAGATTTTTTTTGAACCTGACATGATTCTAAACTTTGTCTCCAAAGATAATACTGGTAGAAATGTCTAAGGAATATCTAAGAAAAGGAAGAGACAACTTGCTTTAAACATTATAAAACTAAAGTAAGCTTTATAATGTAAAACTAAATATAAACATTATCTTTTATGTAATAAGTATAACTTAACATATACAATCTATATTATAGATATAATAAATAATAATAATAATTAAATGGGAGAAAATCAAATGATATTGTTTTCCACTCCCCAGTGATCAGACAATAAAATGTAGTCATGGACAGTCTGGGCCAGAACGCAGTGAAGTGGAGGAAAGTAATTTCACTGTGGAAGTTGAAGTTTGTGCCATTTGACTAGCTTTTAGAACTCTGTTAGAGGAACTAAGCAGAGACTGAGATGGAGATTGATGTGTTAGGGTATATGTTGTGTAACAGCTGAGTGTTAATGTCTTTCCGTCTTCTAGCTGTTGTCTCAGGAGCCCAGCAATGGCATGTCCTCAGATCCCACTGTATTCTTAGATCGCCTGGCAGTGATATTTAGGTAAGAAGATCATTCTGCATGCCTCACAAGGGTTAAAAACTCAAACCATTATGTATTGATGCATGCATTTTTCCCCCCTCATTCTTCCAAGTACCACCTATAATCCTGTCTGTCGGGAGACTAAGCCTGTTACCTGAAGTTTTGAGGCAAAGACGATTTCTAAGAAATGATTCTTGGTAGATCTTCATTAAAAGACCTTTTAAGATGTAATTGATTCTTTTTGGCTCAAACTTTAGCATGCATCAAAATCACCTGGAAACACTGAGTGCTAGGTCCCATAGGATCCCTGGTTCTGATTGCTATCCAGAACCAGACCTTCAGAACCAATGCTATGTAGAATACGGGTCCAAAAAAGTAACGGAGTCTCTTCTGTGATTAAGTGAAATTAATCCTTCTGTGAAGTCAAGAGGAGCCTAACATTTAATCAGGCGTTTGAGTGACTGTGTTCAAAGCATGAATCTGACTGGCTTATGTGACTTACAATGTGTGAGACCCACAGACCATGTAACTAGAATGTCAGGGTGATGGTTGCTGAGAAGTCTATGTGAGATAAGCTAAAGCAGGCATTGTTTGTGCTTATTAATTATTGTCAGTAGGAATCCCTCATGAGTTGTTGCAGTACTTTCCTTATTCATATAATTGGGAGAGCCCAGATAGCATGCCATTTGGAGAGCCTGTTATCAGTAATCCTTATTTCATAGTAGAGAGGAAATCTGTATTAGGTGTAAATGTGTGCATTAAAGAAAGTTGCTTTTTAGCCTTTTAAAGTTAAAAAGTAGCTTTCCTTTAAAGAGACTGGTAATTAATCACATGTCTTTTGCCACCTGCTTTTCTTCAAATTAATAGGCTTTAGACAGAGAAGTTAGATGTGACATTGTAGATGGGTACATATTGTGCATCACCGGGCTCAGACTAGACCCATGACAGACATCTTTAGTGAACGATTGATCCTAAAGAATAGAACAGTACTTTGTTTCTCATAGTGTTTTCAGACAGCCTGTGTTCATTTTTTAGTATTTTGGAAAAAAACTACATATTCAGGTTTGTAAAGGGGAAAATTGGGGTAGTTGTAATGCCTCCAGGGCCCATATATTCAGTTACATTGGATTTACATATTCTAGTGGAAGTAACTCAGTGTGGCAAAAAAATGATAGAATGAGCTAAAGTGTGTGCTCCTGTTTGAGAGAGTAAAAGAAGAGATGCTGATGTAAGGAAATGACTTTACATTCTGATTTTCTTTATTTGGCAAGAATGATTATATGTAAACAAGCAGGAATCAGGCCTCTGGGCTCTCAGTGAAATTGCTCTTTCACAATTTTGTCTTTTCCCAGACATACTAATCCCATTGTGGAAAATGGACAGACTCATCCCTGCCAGAAGGTCATACAAGAAGTAAGTGTCGGTGAATGCCTGTGGAATCAAGGCTTTCTTGTTTTTTAGTTACAAGGCTTTGGGTAACTCATTGGAGAAAGTTCTGTCTTCCACGTTCATAGGGAAATGCGGTTTGTTGGTATGATTCTGATTTCACTGACATTAGGTTCAGAACTGTCCAAATGGTTAAAACTAGATTTGATAACAGCCGGCGCCGCGGCTCACTAGGCTAATCCTCCGCCTAGCGGCGCCGGCACACCGGGTTCTAGTCCCGGTCGGGGCGCCGGATTCTGTCCCGGTTGCCCCTCTTCCAGGCCAGCCCTCTGCTGTGGCCAGGGAGTGCAGTGGAGGATGGCCCAAGTGCTTGGGCCCTGCACCCCATGGGAGACCAGGAGAAGCACCTGACTCCTGGCTCCTGCCATTGGATCAGCGTGGTGCGCCGGCCGCAGCGCACCGGCCGCGGCGGCCATTGGAGGGTGAGCCAACGGCAAAGGAAGACCTTTCTCTCTGTCTCTCTCTCTCACTGTCCGCTCTGCCTGTTAAAAAAAAAAAAAAAAAAAAAAAAAAAAAAAACTAGATTTGATAACAAAACATGCTGTGGGGAAATGCGCTGAAAAGTCAGTGAAAGAAGTAGGGTAGGAGAGCCGGCCTTCCTCGTGTAGGGGGATCTGCCGGACCATTGCTAATTCAATTTCTTTCCCAATCCGGGCCCTTCCCTATCGTCGCCCCCTTCACCTTGGATCATGTTCAAGAAATTTGATGAAAAAGAAAATGTGTCCAACTGCATCCAGTTGAAAACCTCAGTAATTAAGGGTATTAAGAACCAGTTGATAGATCAATTTCCAGGTATTGAACCATGGCTTAATCAAATCATGCCTAAGAAAGATCCTGTCAAAATAGTTCGATGCCATGAACATATAGAAATCCTTACAGTAAATGGAGAATTACTATTTTTTAGACAAAGAGAAGGGCCTTTTTATCCAACCCTAAGGTTGCTTCACAAATATCCTTTTATCCTGCCACACCAGCAAGTTGATAAAGGAGCCATCAAATTTGTACTTAGTGGAGCAAATATCATGTGTCCGGGCTTAACTTCTCCAGGAGCTAAGCTTTACCCTGCAGCAGTAGATACCATTGTTGCAATTATGGCTGAAGGGAAACAGCATGCTCTGTGTGTTGGAGTCATGAAGATGTCTGCAGAAGACATCGAGAAAGTCAACAAAGGAATTGGCATTGAAAATATCCATTATTTAAATGATGGGCTGTGGCATATGAAGACATATAAATAAGCCTCAGAAGGAATGCATTGGGATAAATATGGATATTGTGCTGTATCTGTGCTTGTATGTGTGTGTGACAGCATGAAGATAATGCCTCTGTGGTTATGTTGAATAAATTCTACAGATGCTAAAAAAAAAAAAAAAAAAAAAAAAAAAAAAAAAAGAAGTAGGGTAGGAAAGGAGTAACTCTGATTCCTAGAGTTGCGAGGAGGCCCGAACAATGAAAGCAATGTTTGTGGCAAAGCTAGTGGCTTCAGCATGCTGCCCCTTTCCGAGTCTGAGATTTAGGAGCACAGGCATCTCTGTCTTTCAGCAGTTAAGACACATTCTTCCTGTTCTAAAAAGCTGCTGATTCTCTTAAGCAATGGTTAAGTTTCAGTGACGGGTGGTGTAACGACCCTGTGCACATGTACGGACACCTGGATCAGCCAGGATCAGGCCGTGTTTGACTTCTTGTAAAGAATGCTTTATCCATATTGTTTGAAAGCCAAGTCAGATGTTACCAACTCAGGGCACTCCATTTTCAGCGTTTAGTTGTTGATTGTTTTCTTTCTTGTGCTCTTTCACTTTTGACTCAGATATGGCCAGTTTTATCTGAGACTTTAAATAAGCACCGAGCTGATAATCGGATTGTAGAACGTTGCTGCAGGTGCCTGCGCTTTGCTGTTCGCTGTGTAGGCAAAGGATCTGCAGCCCTGCTGCAGCCACTAGTCACCCAGGTAAGTTCTTCACGAGCAGGCAATGTCGAGTTGTGCGGAACCTGTAGAATAAATTAAGAACCCATAGAACAGAAGCTTTGCTGATGAAACGAAATGCTTTTGATTTATTAAATACAAACTGAAAAATGCTTGGAAGAAATCTGTGCCTATGGTAGGTATGTCGTCTATTTGGGAAATAGCCTGTAATCTCTTCTGAGTATTGGTAGTCTAAATAGCTACATATTCCAGTATCCAGTTATGTGAAGAGAATGATTTATGCACAGCCCTGTGATTGGCAATGATAAACAATTTTGTATTCATTTTCATGGGGGAAAAATGGCAAATCAAACTTTGTTATTTGTTTTTTAAGATTTATTTATTTGAAAGAGTGATGGAGAGGGGCCGGCGCTGTGGCCTAGCGGGTAAAGCTGCCCGCCTACAGTGCTGAAATCCCATATGGGCGTCGGTTTGGGTCGTGGCTGCTCCACTTCCAATTCAGCTCTCTGCTGTGACCTGGGAAAACACTAGAGAATGGCCCAAGTCCTTGGGCCCCTGCACCCATGTGGGAGACCTGGAAGAAGCTCCTAGCTCCTGGCTTCAGATCGGCACAGCTCCAGCCAGTGCAGCCAATTGGGGAGTGAACCAGTGGATGGAAGACCTCTGTCGCTATGCCTCTCCTCCTCTCTCTGTGTAATGCTGACTTTCAAGTAAATAAATAAATCTTTAAAAAAAAAAAAGTGATGGAGAGAGGGAGAGACAGAGAAAGAAATGTTCCGTCTGCTGGTTCACTACGTGAATGGCCACACTACAGTTGGGGCTGGGCCAGGCTGCAACCAGGAGCCAGGAACTCCATTTGGGCTTCCTATGTGGGTGCAGGCACCCAAGTACTCAGGCCATCCTCCACTGCTATTCCAGGAGCATTAGCAGGGAGCTGGATTGGAAGCAGAGCAACCTGGATTCAAACCGGCACTCCGATATGGGATGCTGGCTTTGCACGCAGGGGCTTAATCCACTGTGCTACCCCACTGGCCCCCAAACTTGCTGCTTCATGACTCAAAGGGATTTTATTCTATTTTAACTACAATTTGTTCATAAAAATCTAAGTCTCTTATTTGTCAAAAAAATAAATTTGACCTTTTTAACGCTAAGATTGATATGTATTTATGATGATAGGACTCACTGTTGGAGTGTCTTAAGATCATACTCACATTTTTAACACTTCTCTATATGAGACACCTAATCTCAGCAAGATCAAGACTAGGATGAAGCAAGTGAGGTAGGTGCCTACGGCACAACATTTAGAGAGGCAGGGTAAAGTGTCAGTCCCGCATTTGCAGGATTCTGAGCCAGTAACTTCTGTGAGGAAAACTGCAGGGCTTCAGACCAGGGCCACACACCGCCTGACCTGAAGGGTCCTTCTCCACCTGGCAGAGCAGCTAAGGCACAGGAAGGAGCTCCTGACTCTGAGAGCGAGGGGCTCAAGTTCTGCACCCTGGGAGCCCTTAGCCACAGCTGGGTTGTGCCCATGCCATGTTACCACTTGCATAGCCTTGCCTCCACAAGTTGTAGGTTTGATGATTGTCCAGCTAAACACTTTTTAGTAGAATTTTCATTTTTAATAGTTCTCTGTACTGAGTACAACAATACGTTTATGTTTATATTTAGGCTGCCTCCACCTGTGGGTAAGTGCCCCCATCAGTGGTGTGTTCTGAGTCAAATACAGCTTGATTTAATGCCCCTTTGCTGTTGGAGGATTTGGATGCTGCTTTTTATTCCTGCTAATTAAATATGTGACCAACCCAATACAGTAGGATAGCATCTTATATAGGAAGTAAATTCTAAAGTCAACACATGTGACAAAAATGAATATCATCTTAGAGATCCCTTAAATCAGGGGGTCTGTAAACTGTTGCCAGAGGCCCTACTAATTTTGTAAAAGAAAAAAAAAAGCCTTACTGGAATATAGCCATACTTATTCATTTAAGTATGATCCATTGGCCATTTGTGCTACCTGGAGGAGTTGAGTAGTCAGAAGAGTGAATGTCCAGCAATTTACCTTGTGATTCCCAAGTTTGCCAGCCCAACTTAAATCACTCATTCATAGCTTTCAGTACACAGCAGTAAACAGTTTCTTAGCTCTCATCTCATGTTCATTCCCTTGTATATGCTGATAGAAGTTGGTTACTCTGCCCTTCAAACCTACCAAGCTTATAGAGTTAAATTTATGTAATGAGAGCAATATACGTACATACATGTTGTGTTTTAAATAGGTGAATGTACAATTGCCTCATAATTTTTAAAAATGGAGTAAAAATTCAGAAGAAATCATCTAAATGTATGTGTATATTAAAATTTTTGTTTTATAAATAAAGTGAATCATTGTAAAAATTAAGAGAAAGAATATGAAAGGAAGGAGGAGGAAGGGTAGGAGTGTAGGCGGGAGGAGGGTAGGGTGAGAAGTATCACTGTGCTCCCAAATCTATACACACAAAATACATGCATTCTGTTCACCTTAAAAATTTTTAAATAAATTAATAAAAACATTACAAAAGTGTATTCTGTTGAGATACAAATAACTTGATTGGAAGTTTTTTGTTTTTGTTTTTGTTTTTGTTTTTGTTTTTTGTAGACAGGCAGAGTTAGAAAGTGAGAGAGAGAAAGGTCTTCCTTTTTCCGTTGGTTCACCCCCCAAGTGGCCACTACAGCCGGCACGTTACGCCAATCCGAAGCCAGGAGCCAGGTGTTTCCTCCTGGTCTCCCATGCAGGTGCAGGGCTCAAGCACTTGGGCCATCCTCCACTGCCCTCCCGGGCCACAGCAGAGAGCTGGACTGGAAGAGGAGCAACCAGGACAGAATCCGGTACCCCGATGGGGACTAGAACCCGGGGTGCCGGCGCCACAGGCGGAGGTTTAGCCTAGTGAGCTGTGGCGCCGGCCGGAAGCTTATTTTTTATTTAAAAAATAAAATGGATGGGTTTGAGTGCAATTCAAATTTAAGCAGTGATCTCACTGCCTTCTCCAAGATGTGGGCATTTGGTATTTTTGTCCCAAATGTGGCTGTGCGTCTTATTAGAAATATGACTTATCTACAGTGCAAATAAGAACAACCTTTACTTTTGGAAAATTATAAGTATATTATAGTAGGGTTCTGCACATATTACACAAGCTTCTTAATGACTTCCAGCTTAAAACCACCCACAGATTTAAATCATTCATTATTAGAGCTAGTGAATGATTAGCTCTTAAAATATTGTTTTGGGAACATAAAAGGTCAAAGGCTTGAAAGAACTCTTAAATAGAGAACTTGGAAATTATTGAAGTAAGTGTTGCTTTTGCTTGGGCAGATGGTGAATGTGTACCATGTACATCAGCATTCCTGTTTCCTGTACCTGGGCAGTATCCTCGTGGATGAGTACGGCATGGAAGAAGGCTGTCGTCAGGGACTGCTAGACATGCTGCAGGTGTGTTTTGCTTGGGGACTCTCCACATATCAGGCCAAGAGGATCCGAAGTCCCAACCGTGGTCTTCACCATCCACCCCTGGTGATCTCCTAATAACGAGGAGATAGAAACTTTCTCAGTTTTCTCAGGACAGACCTGCTTGGGAGAGTCAGAAAGAAAGAGACGTTGCTCACACGGGTGTAGTGATCATTACAGACAATACTATGCTGCAGAGATGGATTGTTGGGGTTGGGGGAAGGTGGATAAGCAGATTTAAATGAAGCGTCGCTGAGATCAAGCATGATTTTATTTTTAATGTCCTGTTTGGAAGAGCCATTGAACTACTTTACCTAGCAACAAGGAGGTTTTTAGGGTTAATAGCTGGCATTGGAAAGGGCTTCTGATACACTGCTTTATCAAGGGGATCAGGAGGGCGGGCTGCAGATGTATTAGAGAATGAAGTATGCCGCTCTTTTTCCCAAGGTGTCTTTCCATTAAAATTGGTGATTTCGTTAGGAAGACTTCGTCTACTCCTTTAGTGGTGTCTTTGCTTTTAGAAATTTCTAAAACTGTGAGATGCTATCTCAGCTCAAATCCGTGTCTTCAAGTCTTTCTGAGACGGGGACTTCTTAGGTGAAAACTGTTCATGTTAACTGGGAAGGATCTCAACATTCCCTCTCTTCATTGATTCTCCGTCGTCTTTTCTCACCTGTGCTTCCTTTGTGTGTTCCTCTGTGTCTGTGGTGATAGCTGGCAAGTCTGGGTGAGCATTTCTTTTACAGTCCCCATTCTGTTTCAGGCACTGTGTATCCCCACCTTTCAGCTCCTAGAGCAGCAGAGTGGCCTCCAGAACCACCCCGACACTGTGGATGACCTGTTCCGGCTCGCCACCAGGTAGTGCGCTGCGCAGAGCACGCCTTGTGCTTGTTGCTCCTCCGCATCACTGATTGGTTGATCCTGCCGTCTGACACCTGACTGTTTCCTTCTCTGTACAGAGATGTCTTTGGCATATATAGATTGTGAGCTGGGATCCCCTGGGTGGAAGCAGACGGGAGGTTGCTGAGGGCTTCCATGAAGGGAGCAGGCCCAGCTAATGGAGATGAACTTGGGACAAGCCTGTGACTGTGTAATTTTAAAAGCCCCAGCATTGGCTCTTTTTATGCTGCTGTGATTTGTTTTGTGTTCCACCTCAACTTTATCCTTGAGTGCTTGTACCTCAGAATTCCTAGAATTTTTTTTTTTAAAGATTTATTTATTTATTTGAAAGACAGAGAGAGAGGTTTTCCATCCATTGATTCATTCTCCAATGGCCTCAAGGGCTGGAGCTGGGTGACCCGAAGCCAGGAACTTCTTCCAGGTCCCCCACAAAGGTGCAGGGGCACAAGCATTTGGGCCATCTTCTACTTTCCCAGGCCATAGCAGAGAGCTGGATTGGAAGTGGAGCAACCGGGACTCAAACTGGCACACCATATGGGTTTCCGGCACTGTAGGCTGCAGCTTTACCCACTACACCACAGTGCCAACCCCTAAAATTCCTAGGATTTTAAGGTGCCTTAGAAGTTATCTGGTACTGCACATCTTAGCTGTTCCCCAGTCTGCCACCACATTTACTACTTAAATTATTTTTCCCTGTAGCACTGACAACATGGTTGGTGGACTTCTGCATGAATTCCTTCTTAGTCCTCAGCTAAAGAATTTGAATCAAATCACTGAGGTTTTTTTGTTTTTGTTTTTGTTTTTTTGACAGGCAGAGTTAGACAGTGAGAGAGACAGAGAGAAAGGTCTTCCTTCCGTTGGTTTACCCCCTAAATGGCTGCTACGGCCAGTGCACTGCGCTGATCCGAAGCCAGGAGCCAGGTGCTTCTCCTGGTCTCCCGTGCGGGTGCAGGGCCCAAGGACCTGGGCCATCCTCCACTGCCCTCCCGGGCCACAGCAGAGAGCTGGCCTGGAAGAGGAGCAACCGGGACAGAATCCGGTGCCCCAACCAGGACTAGAACCCAGGGTTCTGGCGGCGCCGGCCCACTGAGTATTTTTTAACAAAAAGAAGCTATTTAAAAACAAAAAACAAAAAACAAAAAACAGTGTGTCATTTACAACCATAAAGTAATATTTACTGTTTCATCAATATTGAATGCTGAGGAGGAGGCGTTAGGTAGCAGGTAAAGCTTCCACCTGTGACACTGGCATCCTATATGGGCCCCAGTTCTACTCCTGGCTGCTCCACTTCTGATCCAGCTACCTGCTAATGTGCCTGGATAAGCAGCAGAAGATGACCCAAGGGTTTAGGTTCCTGCCACCCACATGGAAGACCTGGAAGAAGCTCCTGGCTCCTGGCTTCAGACCGGCCCAACTTCAGCCATTGCGGCCATTTGGGGAGTGACCAGGGGATGAAAGATCTCTCTCTGTCTCTTTCTCTGTGGTTCTGCCTTTCAAATAAATAAGTAAATCTTTAAAATATATATATATATAATTTAAGATAAGTTTTTTAAAAAGAGCTTGAATATTGAAATTTTTTTGCTAGCTTTTGGACAGAGTAGAAAAATCTTTTTAAAATTTTATTTGAAAAGTAGAAATAAAGAGGGAGATCTTCCATCCACTGACAACAGCCAGGGCTAGGCCATGCTGAAATCAGGAACCTGGAGCTCCATTTGGGTCTTTGCTGTGGGTAGCAGGGGCCCAAGCACTTGAACCATTACTTGTTGCCTCCCAAGATGCAAACCAGCAGGAAGCTAGACGAAAGCAGAGTAGCTGGCATTGAGACCAGGCACTCCAGTATGGGATATGAGTGTCCCAAATGCTAACTTAAGCTGCTACATCAAGCTGACCCCAGGAAAACCTTTTTTGATTTGATAGGAGAGAATAGTTAGATGGACTGTCAACATGTTTTCCCAAGGTGTGGTCATTGCAAAGCTGATCCCTGGAGATGCTCTTTGCACAAATGGTCAACTAAGTTTGGAAAATACTGTATCTTTTTCTTAAGAAATTTTCCTTATATATTAAACGATATGAGAAATGCTGTATTAGGTAATAATAATAAACAACAAAACCACTTTTTTTTCTATTTTGCTTGAAACCAAGAAAAAGATCCCATATGCTAGTTTATTCCTCATGAGGAATCGTCTTCCCTTTAATATACCAATCCATCCATACTATTTAATTCCCTCACACAGTATTTAAACTTTCCATCAGCAATACATAGAGCCAAAAGAGTTAAACCTCTTAATGCTAGTTTTGTTAAAAAGAGTAATGGTTACATACTTAGACTTTTACAGACTGAATTTTTTTAAAAGATTTATTTATTTGAAAATCAGGGTTACACAGAGAGAGGGAGAGGTCTTCCATCTGCTGGTTCACTCCCCAGTTGGCTGCAATGGCCAGAGCTGAGTTGATCCAAAGCCAGGAGACAGGAGCTTCTTGTGGTTCTCGCATGTGGGTGCAGGGGTCCAAGGACTGGGGCCATCTTCTTTTTTTTTTTTTTTAATAGAAAACTTTTATTTAATATATATAAATTTCAAAAGTACAACTTTTGGATTACAGTGGTTCTTGCCCCCATAACCACCCTCCCACCCGCAAACCATCCCATCTCCTACTCCCTCTCCCATCCCATTCTTCATTAAGATTCATTTTTAATTATCTTTATACAGAAGATCAACTCTATACTGAGTAAAGATTTCAACCATTTGCAACCACACAGACACACAAAATATAAAGTACTGTTTGAAGGTTAGTTTTACCATTAATTCTCATAGTACAACACATTAAGGACAGAGGTCATACATGGAGAGTAAGTGCATAGTAACTCCTGTTGTTGATTTAACAATTGACACTCTTATTTATGACGTCAGTAATCACCCGAGGCCCTTGTCATGAGCTGCCAAGGCTATGGAAGCCTCTTGAGTTCACAAACTCCGACTTTATTTAGACAAGGCCATAATCAAAGTGGAAGTTCTCTCCTCCCTTCGGAGAAAGGTACCTCCTTCTTTGATGGGACTTGGGCCATCTTCTACCACTTTCCCAGGCCATAGCAGAGAGCTGTATCTGAAGAGGAGGAGCAGCGGGGACTTGAAGTAGGGCCCATATGGATGCCAGCGCTTTAGGCGGCGGCTTTACCTGCTACGCCACAGCACCAGACCCTTACAGACTGAATTTTAAGAAATGGATCACCTAACAGTTTGACCCGTAAATTTGGAGGAACAATTTTGTAGTATTTGCTTCTACAGCTTCAAAATAGGTTGACTAATACCTTGGATCTCACATCTGTTAACATAAGTCCTGGAGGGACTTTATATCCCATAATAATACATTATTTTTTAGTATGGATCTCAATCATGTATGAAATACATTTCCATTGTGCTTAATGCTATCATTCAAATCTTGTAGAACAGCTTAAATTTATAGATTTCATATTGCATTTAGAAAAAGAGCTTACTTTTTTCCAAAAACACATCTAGATAATTAGGCATATCCTTTGTTAAACATTTTCTTTCAGAATAATTTTAAATTTACAGAACAAAAATTGTGTAGTAAAACTCCACAAATCTTACTTGAACACATAACCTTTGTTTTTGTTTTTGTTTTTGTTTTGAGGTAATCCTATTGGTGTCCTGGGAACTGGTATTCTATGGTGTGTACTTGGGAAAATGCTGGTTTAACGCTTTAGGATTTAACTTTTTAACCCAGGAGAATTTCTAGTTATTAACCCCCTTGACTGATTTTCCTTGAAACTGCCTGACCTGATTTATAAAACCATACTTGAAAATTAGGTTTTTTTCTTTTTTTAAGATTTATTTATTTATTTGAAGTAAGAGTTATAGGGGTGGGGGGAGAAAGAAAAGGAGATCTTCCATCTGTTGGTTCACTCCCCAGATGGTTGCAATAGCCAGGAGTGAGCCAAGCTGAAGCTAGGAACCAGAAGCTTCATCCAGGTCTCCCACATGGGTAGCAGAGGCCCAAGCACTTGAACCATCTTCCACTGCTTTTCCCAGGCCATCAGCAGGGAGCTGGAACAGAAGTGGAGCAGCTGGTACTCAAACAGGTGCTTATATAGGATGCCAGCTCACAGGCGAGCAGCTTTACCCACTATGCCACAACACTAGCCCCAAAAATTGAGTTTGGACATATGTCTTTTCATATGTTAATCTAAGATATGGTCCCTTGGTTGTCCTGACTTTTGTTCTTGTTGTTTTAAAAACAGCTTTAAATTCACAGCAAAGCTACTTGAAAAGTATAGTTTACATAAAATCCCTGTCCCCCTTTCCAACACACATATAACCTTTCCTACTACCAACATCCTATACCACCAGCGCAGTAAATGTATTACAGTTAGTGAGCATGCAGTGAAACATCTCTCCTCAATTCTGTAGTTTACATTAGGGTTCACTCTTAGTATATATTCTGTAGCTTTTGACAACTGTACAAAAATATTTATCCCCTGGGCTGGCGCTGTGTTGTAGTGGGTTAAGCTACCGCCTCAGTGCCGGCATCTGATATGGGCGCTGGTTTGATTCTGGCTCTCTGCTTCTGAACCAGCTGCCTGCCAATGCACCTGGGAAAGCAGGAAAAGATAGCCCGAGTGCTTGGGCCCCTGCACCCATGCGGGAGACCTGGAAGAAGCTCCTGGCTTCAATCTGGCCCAGCTCTGGCCATTGTGGCTGTTTGGGGAGTGAATAAGCAGATGGAAGATCTCTCTCTCTCTATCTCTGTCTCTTTCTCCCTGTGGCTCTGCCTTTCAAATAAAATAAATAAATCGTTTTTTAAAAGACATGTATCCACCGTTTTATTAGCATGCAGAGATTTTCGCTGCCCTAAAAATCCTCTGTGCTCTGTCTGTTCATCCCGTCCTCCCCTCCTAGCAACCACTGATGTTTTTACTGTCTACATAGTTTTATGCTTTACGCTGGCAGTTTTGACACCTAGCTTCTCTTTCCATGCCAGGTTTATTCAGCGTAGCCCTGTCACTTTACTGAGGAGCCAAGTAGTCATCCCAATCTTACAGTGGGCCATTGCCTCCACTACCCTGGACCACCGGGATGCCAACTGTAGCGTCATGAGATTCCTGCGAGACCTCATCCATACAGGCGTAGCCAATGATGTAAGTATGAATATTGTGTCTTTTCAACTTCACACTTTATTATCTTCTATTTCTTCCTCATCCTTTAGGGGATAACGAGTACCGTAGTATCTCCTTATTTGGTGTGTATTAATAAATATTTACCGTAGTGAGTCATTCACTAATCATAATAGCAATGTTAGATCTATTGTATCTGTGTTGAGTGCTGTGGGCTACACAAACCTATTCCTGCTCCCAAACCATTTGGTATATAGTCAAAGAGATAAATAGATACAAAGAGTTAACAAGAATATAATATTTGATTGTCAGATGAATGATAAGAGTCATGTTTGCTATGAGTTCAGAGAAGGGAAAGCTTTCGACAGGAATAACTGGATAACTGTGGGAGAGGAAGAACTTAAATGAAGCCCTAAAGACAGAGGTGGAGTTTGGATGGATTGGGAGAAGATAGCCCAGTGAGGGCATAAAGCCCTAGCAGAGAAAGTCACACTAGCACTGAGTATGTTAGTAAGCCGTGATAGGACCTGCTGGGCTGGGGTGGTGAAGGGACTCACAAGATTTTCAGGGGTCGATGTGGTCAGATGTGGGATAGAATCAAAGTTTAGAGAGAGCAGTGAAGAAGTATGTAAACAGGCAAAGGTTGGCAGTAAAAGAAGAAAATAACTAGAAGATATAATTTTTATTTCTAAAAGATTTATCTGTTTGAAAGGCAGAGAGAGAGAGAGACATCTTTCATCTGCTGGTTCATTTCCCCAAATGGCTGCTGTGGCCAGGACTTGGCCAGGCCTAAGCCAGGAGCCCATAATTCCATTCCAGTCTCCCACATGGGTGGTAGAGGCCCAAACGCTTGGTCCATTTTCCACTGCTTTCCCTGGAGCATTAGCAGGGAGCTGGATTGGAAGCACAGCAGTGAGGGCTCAAACTGGCACTCCCGTATAGGCTACTGACATGACAGGTGGTAGCTTAACCCACTGGACAATGCCAGCCCCTGAAAGGTAATTTTTAGAAAGATTTTTCTAAAGGTAGTTAAAGATACATTTGTATATATAAAGACTACAACAAAAAAGGAAAAATCAAGATTTTTTATAGGAATAATTAAATATCTGATAGAAATTGGCAATTTTCATTTCAGTTATTTTTAGAAAAAGGAAGTAGAACACAAGTTATATTTTTTAACTGGAAAGAAATTTTAAAAAGTGCTAATCTTTTTTTTTTTTTTTTTTTTTTTTGACAGAATGGATAGTGAGAGAGAGACAGAGAGAAAGGTCTTCCTTTTTACCGTTGGTTCACCCTCCAATGGCCACTGCGGCCGGCGCACCGCACTGATCTGATGGCAGGAGCCAGGTACTTATCCTGGTCTCCCATGGGGTGCAGGGCTCAAGCACTTGGGCCATCCTCCACTGCACTCCCTGGCCACAGCAGAGAGCTGGCCTGGAAGAGGGGCAACCGGGACAGAATCTGGCACCCCGACTGGGACTAGAACCCAGTGTGCCGGCGCCGCAAGGCGGAGGATTAGCCTAGTGAGCCACAGCGCCGGCTAAAAAGTGCTAATCTTAATTCTTAGTACTTACCATTGCCTCTGCCTTCTAATCTTGGGTCCAGTTGTGGGATAGTGGGTGAAGTCACCGCCCACAACTCTGGTATCCTGTTTGGGTGCCGGTTTGAGTCTTAGCTGCTCCACTTCCAATCCAGCTCCCTGCTAATGGCCTGGGAAAAGCAGCAAAGGATGGCCCAAATACTTGGGCCCCTGCCACCCATGTGGGAGATCTGGATGAAGCTCCTGGCTTTTGGCTTCAGCCTGCCTGTTGTAGCCTTCTGGGAATTAAACCAGCAGATGGAAGAACTCTCTTTTTTTAAGATTTATTTTATTTATTTGAAAGTCAAAGTTACAGAGAGGGAGAGACCGAGAGAGATCTTCCATCCGCTGGTTCACTCCCCAGATGGCTGCAACAGCTGGAACTGCGCCGATCTGAAACCAAGCAGCCAGGAGCTTCCTCTAGGTCTCCCATGTGGGTGCAGGTGCCCAAGCACTTGGGCCATCTTCTACTGCTTTCCCAGGCCATAGCAGAGAGCTGGATCAGAAGAGGAGCAGCTGGGATTTGAACTGGCACCCATATGGGATGCCGGCGCTTCAAGCCAGGGTTTTAACCTGCTGTGCCACAGTGCCGGCCCCTAAATAAATCTTTTTTTAAAAATTGCTAATAAACACATGAGGAAGTGCTCAGTATTAAAAATTCTTTAAACATTAAGGTTAATCTCTGTTAAAACTCATGCCCATTTTCTCAGTACTGAACTCTCATGTTTTCTTCCAAATGATGAAGCATTAAGTAGACTTTATGGATTCAGTTGTTGTATAACACGCGTACTTTCTTCATTAGGAAAGAGAAGTTACTAGGCGAATGGGGTACTTGCTGTTTGGAGAGTTGAGGCTCGGACATGGCATCTGATGCTCCTGCTCTCTTACAGCATGAAGAAGACTTTGAATTACGGAAGGAACTGATTGCACAGGTGATGAACCAGCTCGGACAGCAGCTTGTCAGCCAGCTGCTCCATACGTGCTGCTTTTGTCTCCCTCCCTACACCCTACCAGATGTGGCTGAAGTGCTCTGGGAAATCATGCAGGTTGACAGACCGGTAAGATGGTTTCTGTTTCTGTATTGCATGGCAGAGTGACAGAGAGAGGGTGGGAGAGAGAGAAAAATCTTCCTTCCCCTCATTCATTCCCAAAATGGCTGAAAGAGCCAAGGCTGGGCATGGCCACAACCAGGAACCAGAAGCTGCTTCTGGGTCTCCCACATGTATGGCAGGGTCCCAAGCACTTGGGTCATTCTCAGCTGCCTTCCCAGGTACATTAGCAGGAAACTGAATCAGAAGTGGAGTGCCAGCCTGGAACTGCCACTCCGATATGGGAAGCCGGCCCCCTCCAACCCTGTTTTTGTTTTGTTTTGTTTTAAGATTTATTTGTTTATTTGAAAGAGTTACACAGAGAGAGGTTTTCTATCCGATGGTTGGCCACAACGGCCGGAGCTGCTCTGATCTGAAGCCAGGAGCTTCTGGGTCTCCCACATGGGTGCAGGGGCCCAGCAACTTGGACCACCTTCCGCTGCTTTCCCAGGCCATAGCAGAGAGCTGGATCAGAAGTGGAGCAGGGGCCAGCACCGTGGCTCATTTGGTTAATCCCCCACCTGCAGCACCAGCATCGCTACGGGTGCCGAGTTCTAGTCCCGGTTGCTCCTCTTCCAGTCCAGCTCTCTGCTGTGGCCCAGGAAGGCAGTGGAGGATGGCCCAAGTGCTTGGGTCCTGCACCCCCATGGGAGAGCAGGAGAAGCCCCTGGCTCCTGGCTTTGGATCAGTACAGTGCCAGCCATGTAGGCCATTTGGGAAGTGAACCAACAGAATTATTAAAAAAAAAGAAGTAGAAGCCGGCGCCGCGGCTCAATAAGCTAATCCTCCACCTAGCGGCGCCGGCACACCGGGTTCTAGTCCCGGTCAGGGCACCGGATTCTTTCCCGGTTGCCCCTCTTCCAGGCCAGCTCTCTGCTATGGCCCGGGAGTGCAGTGGAGGATGGCCCAAGTGCTTGAGCCCTGCACCCCATGGGAGACCAGGAGAAGCACCTGGCTCCTGCCATCGGATCAGTGCGCCGGCCACAGCGCGCCAGCCATGGCGGCCATTGGAAGGTGAACCAACGGCAAAAGGAAGACCTTTCTCTCTGTCTCTCTCTCTCTCACTGTCTACTCTGCCTGTCCAAAAAAAAAAAAAAAAAAAGTAGAGCACCAGTGCCTCAGGCCAGGTTGTTAACCACTGCACCACAGCACCGGCCTCGCCAACCCTAACTCTGAAACCAGCCCTGTTACATGTCCATGGAACCAAATAAATTTAGGTTTATTGCTAAGTTCATTAGGTAGATGAAGGGACCCATAGAAAGCCAGTAATTCCTTATTGGGTTTTTGAAAGTATGTTTGTGTTATTGTCATAGGGTTTATACTGTATGTTACCAGAAGTAAGTACTAAGCATTGACTTTAGCTGTGAGGAATGTATTCTGTTGTGAGAGCTACCCATATGTTATTTATATCAAGTTGCAGATTATTCAAGAGGTGTTCGGTCACTTCAGGCTCCTTAGAAAGCACTGTATTGTTTCTTGATGATATATCTAGCCAGAGATTTTGGAGGTCAAACCAATCTACAGTATACACTTGGATTTATTTTCTCTTTGGATTTATCTAAACAAGGTCCTTTTTGTCCACCTGAGTATGGAAATATTTTGGGGGGCTACCCAGTTATGTCCATGTCATTTGAGTACTGGGTCTCTTAATCATAAATCATGTATGCTACATAAATCTTTTTGCGTGTAGTGGTAAGGTATAATACAGCCTGTAAGTTAATTATTAAAATAGGTTTTATAGTTTTTAGTATTAATATAAAAGCAGTTCAGGAAAGTACACAATTAAACCTAAAGTGAGCTGTCTTCCAGAACCACAAGATGGATAATAAAACATACTGGATGGTTTCTGTCGTTCTCATTGCTGGTTGTTCATTACACATGTGCCATTCCAATCTAATGGACTAGCACTTTTGTCTTTCTTAAAAGCTACCCTTTAAGCTCCCAGGAACAAACCTTTTTCATTCCAAAAATCCTTGACTTGAGAAATAAAATCTTCATATTCTTAAACTGTTTTATAAATGCACTTGTTCTCAAATCACAGAAGACTTATGTAATTCTAACTTTACAAAAACATTCTTGATTTACAGATTTATGGTTTAAGTGAAAAAATTAGAACAGCAAATTTGGACAGAAGCAGAAATTAAGTAGCCATGTCCATTTAAGAGTTTACACTACAGCATGTCAAGCCACCATTTATGATGCTGGCATCCCGTATCCAAGTACTACTTCGAGTCCTGGCTGCTCCACTTCCAATCCAGCTCCCTGCTAATGCACCTGGGAAGGCAGCAGAAGATGGCCCAAGCACTTGGGTCACTGACACCCGTGTTGGAGATCAGGATGAAGTTCCTGGCTCCTAGCTTTGGATCAGCCCAGACTTGGCTGTTGGAGTCATTTGAGAGTGAACCACAGATGGAAGATATCTTTATGTCTCTGTCTCTGTCCCTCTGCCTTTCAAATAACTAGAACTTAAAGGAAATTTGCTATTTACATAGGCACTTAGTTATCAAATAATTTAAAGTGATTGTCTTCTAATAAATACCAACTTACAGCTGAGTTTTTGTAAAGGAACTCTTACATAAATTTGGGTTGTCTGTACCATGTAAGCTGATGGATATTATAACTAAGGATATGAATCTAAAGAAAATTCACACTCTCAAGCACTTTCTTAATCATACCATTTTCAAAGCTCAATATACAAATTCTCCAGTAGAAGATGACATACCAGCTTTCTCACTTAACTTGAGTAATCTGTTAAAGTCTTTCCTCTGTTCCCCTGTTTGTTGGATACTTACCTGTGGCGAAATTGTTTAGTATTGTCAACCAAAATTTTCTGATTCCTTTACTGGATATTATAAAGACCATTATGTGCTATTTTTAAAGATGTACTTGTTTGAAAGGCACAGTGACAGAGACAGAGAGAGAAAGAGATCTTCTATCCTCTGGTTCACTCCCCAAGTGCCTACAACAGCTAGGTTTGAGCCAGGCCGAAGCCAGGACCAGGAACTCCTTCCTGGTTTCCCACATGAGTGGCAAGGACCCAAGTGCTTGGGACCATCTGCTCTTGCAGGTGCATTAGCAGGGAGCTAGATCAGGTAGCAGCTGGAACTGGAACCAGTGTCATAGGCAGCTGCTTAATCTGATGTGCCACAGTGCTGGCCCCTTTTTTTGCATTGAGTTTAACATCTTGTTTTTAACATCTTGGCAACATTTGGAAAATTATGTTTCTCTTTTTCCAAGATCGATTTATTTATTTATTTATTTAAAAGTCAAAGTTACAGAGAAAGAGAGGGAGAGACAGAGATATCTTCCATCTGCTGGTTCATTCCCCAGATGGCCACAATAGCCGGGGCTTAACCAGGCTGAAGCCAGGAGACAGGAGCTTCATCCAGGTCTCCCACATGGGTAGCAGGGGCCCAAGCACTTGGACCATCTTCTGCTGCTTTCCCAGGCCATTAGCAGGGAGCTGGATCAGAAGTGAAGCAACCAAGACACAAACCAGTGCCCATATGGGATGCCAGCAGCAGCTTTACCCACTATGCCACAACACCGGCCAGCCCCCCAAAATTATATTTCTTAAGCATTTATAAAATTTATTTATATTATAATATTACATTATATATATTCTAGCAACCCCCTAGCTGTTGCAACCACTTACAGAGTGAACCAGCAGATGGACGATACCTCTATCTCTGTCAATTTTCTCTTCAAATAAGTAAATTAATTAGAAAAAGAAATGGGTAAAGAAAAAACTTAAAGGACAATTTTTTTTTTTTTTTTTTTAATTTGAAAGGCAGAGACTTCCCAAATGGCTAGGGTGGCCAGGGTTGGGCCAGGCTGAAGCACTTAAGCCAGTTTCCCCTGCTTTCCCAGGTGCATTAGCAGGGAGCTGGATTAGAAGTTCTACAGCTGAGCCACAGGTGGAGGCTTAACCTGCTGTGCCACAATGCCTGGCCCCAGGACAACAGTTAAATTCAAAATAACCCAAGGAAGTCACTAGAATTTTGATTTTTAGTTTGAAGATGAAGGAAGGGGTGGAGACAGTTTATTTTGAATGGCATATAAAAGGGATAAGGAGCACAGCTATACATAAATTATTTTATATATCAGTAAGACTATGATTTTCTAACCTAAAGAGCAGGCAGGTGTCCCAGAGGAACTGAATATATGTTACTTCTACTGAGAGATGACCTTAAATTCCTGGTTTCATATTCTGTGTGTACTCTGTGACATGCTCTTTCTGGTATGTGGACCTTTGATTAGGGTTGCTTTTGGTCTTTACTCTTGAGTTTTCTGGCATCTGCTTAGTTTTTTAAATGTTACATGCATTTGATGACAGAAACAGAACAATAGCCTCATCTAGAAGAAACTTCTTGTCTAAGGTATAGAGGCCTTTTTTTTAAAGATTGATGTATTTATTTGAAATTTGGAGTGGGGGTGGTGGGAGAGAGAGATCTTCATCCTCTGGGTCACTCCCCAGGTGTCTGCAAAGGCAAAGGTTAAGCCAGGCAGAAGCTGGGAGCTTCATCCAGGTCTCCCACATGGGTCACAAGGGCCCAAACACTGCACCATCTTCCACTGCTTTTCCCAGGTCGTTAGCGGGGAACTGGATTGGAAATAGAGCATCCAGGAATCAAGCCAGCGCCCACATGGGCTGCCAGCATCGCAGGTGGTGGCTTTCCCTGTTACGCCACAGTGCCGACCCCTGTGGAAGGCTTTTGTGTGAGGCGATGCCTGCTGCCCACTTGAGGGGAAGTCTAGTGCACGTTTGCAGACTCCATCCACCCAGTGGGTCTGAAGTGCAGGGTAGCAACTGCCACAAAGGAAAACCTGTGGAGTTTTGTTAGTGCCTGTAAGGTTCCAAGTAAGTTAACCCTGCCTCCTTTTAAAACTCTCATTCCTCTTCTTCCCTAAACAGACCTTTTGTCGGTGGTTAGAGAATTCCTTGAAAGGTTTGCCAAAGGAGACAACTGTAGGAGCTGTCACAGTGACACACAAACAACTTACAGACTTCCACAAGCAAGTTACTAGGTGAGTGGTGCCGGCGGTTTTTAAAGGGAGTGTGCACAGCAGCTGAGTGCATAGGAAAATGGACCTGTGTTTCTATGTGTTTTTATAAATTCATAACGTAGGGTCTACTTAACTTAGAGCTGTGCAAATCGGTATTTGAAGCCAGTCTAAGGCAAAAGCATCATTGTGCTATGTATTTGAGGGTCTTCAGGAAGATTATGGAAAAGCATACCATGAATGAAAAGATTATGCTTATATTTCAATGTTTTTGCACCAAATAAACTTTTAATTCTATTTTTCCATGAACTTTTTGACGTGCCCTTGTATGTACATCACTTCTGCTTTGTATCAGCTACTGGTAGAGACCCTGGAGCATAAGTGAGGAGGTGCTACCTCTCCCAAGAGAAAAGTACGCTGACAGGTGACTCCCCTTCGGAAGGTCCACTCCTATCTTCCCGAGTCCTTAGTTCTTATCCATAATCAAGGGTCAAGAATGTAGATGCTGGGACAGGCCTTGGGGCACAGTGGGTTAGGCTGCCTCCCGGGACACCAGCAGCCTGTAGTGGAGTGCCAGATTGATTCCTAACTGCTTCACTTACTCCCCAGCTCCCTGCCAGTACACCCAGGAAGGCAGCAGATGATGGCCCAAAAACCTGGGTTCCTGTGACCCACGTGTGAGAGCCAGATGGAGTTCTTGGGTCTTGGCCTCCCTCTGGCCCAGTGCTGTTAGGAGCACTTAGGGAGTGAATCAGTGGATGGAAGATCCCTCTCTGTCTGTCTCTCCCTCCCTCTCTACTCTTCCATTTAAAAGGGGGAGGGGGACAGGGGAAGTACAAGTGTTTACATGAACAAAGAAAGCATTGGTTGGTTGTAAAAAACATCAGAGAGTTGGGGCTGGTGCTGTGGCTTAGTGGACTAAGCCTCTGCCTGTGGCACCAGCATCCCTTATGGGTGCCAGTTTGTGTCCCAGCTGCTCTTCTGATCCAGCTCTCTGCTATGGCCTGGGATAGCAGTGGAAGATGGCCCAAGTGCTTGGGCCCCTGCACCCACGTGGGAGACCCAAAGAGCTCCTGGCTCCTGGCTTCGATTGCCCCAGCTCTGGCTATTGCAGCCATTTGGGAAGTGAACCAACAGATGGAAGACCTCCTTCTCTGGGAGTACAAGTGTTTACATAAGCAAAAAACATCGTTGTTGGTGCTGGCACTGTGGCATAGCAGGTAAAACTGCCACCTGCAGCACCAGCATCCCACGTGGGCGCCAGTTCAAGTCCTGGCTGCTCCACTTCCCATCCGGCTCTCTGCTGTGGCCTGGGAGGGCAGTGGAGAATGGCCTAGGTGCTTGGGCCCCCACACCCACATGGGAGACCTTGGGGAGGCTCCTGGTTTGGGATTGGCCCAGCTCTGACCTTTGGGGCTGTTTGAGGAGTGAGCCAGTGGACAGAAGACCTCTGCCTCTGCTTTTCTGTAACTCAGCCTTTGAGATAGATGGATGGATCGTTAAGGGGAAAAAAAATCGCTGTCTGAGTATTGGAGTATCTGGGTTTGAATCCTAGTTCTTCTCTGGATTCCAGCTTCCTGCTAATGTGTACCCTGGGAGGCAGCAGGTAAATGGGTCAGCTCAGGCAGTTGGGTCCATATCACACAGGTGGGAGACCCAGATTGAGTTCTTGGCTCCTGGCTTTGGCATGGTCTGTCCCAGACCCAGCTGTTGAAGGCATTTGGGAAAGTGAACCAAGGGATGGAGATTTGTCTTGTGTGTGTGTCTGTGTGTCTTTGTCTCTGTCTCTCTGCCTTTCAAATAATATTTTTAAAATGTAAAAATATATATATATATATTTTGCTGTCAACACATTTATTTATTTATTTGAAAAACAGAGCTACAAAGAGAGATAGAGAAAGAGATCTTCTACCCACTGATTCATTTCCCATGAATGGCTACAATAGCCAGATCTGGGCCAGGCCAAAACCAGAAGCCAGGAACTGCATCCTGTACTCTCACATGGGTGGCAGGGCCGGGCACATGGACCATCTTCTGCTTTCCCAGGCACATTAGCAGGAAGTTGTGGAACAGCCAGGACTCATGCTGGAACTCCAGTGCAGGACGCTGGCACCACAGTGGCAGTTTGACCCTCTGTGCCGCAATGCCAGCTCCTCAGCGTGCGTTCTCAATGCAATTGCATAACCTTCCTAATTACTGTTTATAGCCCTAAAGACGTCACTTGATTTTCTTTCAATGCCTCTGTTAGTACATATTTAGATTATTTTTACATTTTCAGTATTACAGATAAGATTATAGCCTTTTCCTTCTTTTGAATATTGTTCTTAAAATGTAATCACTGGATCAAAGGTTATGAGACTTTTTAAAAATTTTTTTATTTATTTGAGAGAGACAGAAAGTTCTCATCCACTGGTTCACTCTCCCTAATGCCTGCAGTGGTTAGGCCTGGTTGATGCTAAAACTAGAGTGGGAACTCAATCTAAGTCGCACCCACATGAGCCATCATCTCCCAGGGTCCTCATCTGCGAAAAGCTAGAATCAGGAATAGAGCTGAGACTTGAACCCAGGCATTCCAATATGGGATCCAAGTGTCCCAAGTAGTGTTTTAACTGTTAGGCCAAATACCTACCTGAAGGTTACCAAACTGTTATGGTCTTTGATAATATTGATGGCTATATTTATTGGATATTTTATAATTGTGTATTACCTTGACTTGATACTCTTTTCTTAGATCTAGAGCAATAGTATATTTTGTGCCAGTATATAGTAACCAGAAAATGACAAAGAACAACAGGTATTTGGTTCAGCAGTTAGACTGCTGGGGACAAGCAGTGGGTTAAACCACCACTTGGCCTGTCTGTATCCCATATCAGAATACCTGGGATTGAGATCCGCCTCTACTTCCAATCCAGCTTCCTGCTAATGCCACCGGGGAGGCAGCTGATGATAACCTGAGTACTTGGGTCCCTGCCAGGTACTTGGGAGGCCCCAGTGGAGTTCCTGGCTCCTAGCTTGAGCTTGCCCTAGCCCTACCTATTTCAGGCATTTGGGGATTAAACCAGCATGTGGAAGGCCTCTCTCTATCTTTTTTTTTTTTTTTTTTTTTTTTTTAAAAAGATTTATTCAGTTTTAAAGGAAGAATTAGAGAGAGAGATTAAGATTGGTTGGGGGGGGGGGGGGGACAAGATCTTCAATTCACTGATAGACTCCCCAGATGGCTGCAACAGCTAGAGCTTGGCCAGGCCGAAGCCAGGTGCCAGGAGCTTCTTCCAAGTCCCCCATATGGCTGGCAGGGGCCCAAGCACTTGAACCACCTTCTGCTGCTTTTCCCAGGCTATTAGCAGGGAGCTGGATCAAAAGCAGAACAGCCATGACATGAACAGGCACCCATATGGGATGCTAGCATTGCAGGTGGTGACTTTACCCACAATACCAGCTCCTCTCTCTCTCTTTTTTGGTAAATAAAAATGAAGTAAATAAAGGCAAGAATAAGGAAATAAATGTTTTGTTGCAAAAAATATACAAGATAGATTTTAACAGGAAAAGGACCATATCACATAACCCAACTTGAACTTTTAAAACAATTTTAAAAAAAATTTTGGGGGGCCGGCGCCGTGGCATACTTGGTTAATCCTCCGACTGCAGTGCCGGCATCCCATATGGGCGCCCGGTTCTAGTCCCGGTTGCTCCTCTTCCAGTCCAGCTCTCTGCTGTGGCCCAGGAGGGCAGTGGAGGGTGGCCCAAGTGCTTGGGTGGGTGCCTGCACCCACATGGGAGACCAGGAAGAAGCACCTGGCTCCTGGCTTTGGGTCAGCGAAGCTCTGGCCGTGGCAGCCATTTGGGGGGGTGAACCAACGGAGGGAAGACCTTTCTCTCTGTCTTTCTCTCTCTCACTATCTAACTCTATATGTCAAATTAAAAAAAATTTTTTTTAAGATTTATTTATTTACTTGAAAGGCAGTTACAGACAGAGGGAAAGGCAGACAGTTCTTCCATCCGTTAGTTCACTCCCCAAATAGCCACAGTGGTCGGAGCTGGGCTAATCCAAAGCCTGGAGCCAGAATCTTCTTCTGGGTCTCCCACGCTGGTACAGTGGCTCAAGCACTTGGCCATCTTCCACTGCTTTCCCAGGCTATCAGCAGGGAGCTAGATTGGAAGTGGAGCAGCCAGGGCTCAAAGCAGCATGCATATGGATGCCCACACTGTGGGTGCTTGACTTACTATGCCACCGTGCCAGCCCCAATTAAAAATTTTTGAAGTTGTGATAAAATACACATAAAATTCACCATTTTAACCAATAGTTAAAAGTTACATTCAATATGTGATATATTTTGGTTGTACAACCAATCTGCAAAACTTTTTCTTGTAATAGTGAAATTACAACTGTTTAGCAACAGTCGCCCATTCTTCCCACCCTCCACCCCGTAACTACCATCCTACTTAGTGTTACTTGGTGTTTCTTTGCATTTGACTACTGAAGATACCTCATTTAAGAGGAATCACACAGGATTTGTCTTTTTGTGAGCGGCTTATTTCACTTAGCATGATGTCTTCACAGTTCATCACTGTTGTAGGATTCATGTGCCAGAATTTCCTTCTCTTTTAAGCCTAAATAGTATGTCATTTTGTACTATATATTTATCTGTTCTTCTGTCAGTGGACATTTGGGTTGCTTCTACTACTTGGATATTGAATAATGTTACTATAAACATGGGTATGCAGATACTTCCTTCACACCTCCCAGAAGGTTTCTGTAGCAGCTATACCATTTCACATTCCTACTAACAGTGCAAAAGGTTCCAGTTTCTACAACTTCACCAATACTTGTTATTCTTAAATCCAGTGTAAGGTGATATTGTGTTGTGGTTTTGGATTTATATTTCTCTAGTTATTAGTGGTATTTAGCTTCTTTTTATTTGCTTATTTGTCCTTTGTTGTCTTTGGAGAAATGTCTATTCAAACCCCTTGCTCATTTAAAAATTATTATTTTTCTTTATTTGAAAGGCAGAGAGACAGACAGACAC